TTTATTAAGTTTTGTAAGTGATGGCTTTCTAAGAGATAAAATAAACAAGGTATACATAAATTGATAATCAACATACATACATTTGGACTCATTTAAATTTTACTTATTGAAAAACAAAATGGGAAAAATGAGAAATTATATGGTAAAAATAAAGTTATGTACGAAAGGGTACATACAACTTTGGTTATAATTTTACTATTGTTAAAAGTTTTTTCTTGTCAAGCCATACGCTTGAATTAAGGTTACTAATATAATAGTACTACTAGGAAAGACAACAGCCAGAATTTGGTCTGTATTAGTAATTAGTCGATTCAAAATCTCTATCAGATGTTGACTTGAAAATTTGAAAGTGGTAAGGTAGCAGCTTAACTGTAAATGTTACTCATTCCTATGCAAATTGGAATACCATCAGTAAAATTTATTTGTCGTTGAATATAGTCTTTTCAACAGTTTTCACTTCCTTGAAAAATATTTAACCTCAGACAGTATGTAACCTGGTGTTTTGGGGGGGTTTTTTTAAGTTTCTTTTTCCAGGAAATGTGGTGTCTACAACGTTTTAAAACTCATATGCCTATATTCCTTTAAAGTCCGCTGATGTTGATTGTAGGCAATCATGCAAGTGAATTATGTTTAGTAACTAAACAGGTATGATAAACGGAAACTATACGCCGCTTCTTGTTGCCGACGATAAATACCGAAAATGAGCGGAAAATACGTTTATTTACGATGATTTAGTGGGCGGGGAAATGGGCGGAGCTTATTTTATCTCCTATTGAAAAGCGTGTAAAGCTGGATTATGCTGATCTGAATCATGATGGTTCGACAATGTAAAGCTAAGAATGTAACTTCTGTTTTGAGTATTCGAACACTTGGTATTGCTACTATCAGTTAATGTTTTGTCGTTTAACAAAATGTATTTTGTTGAAATACATGTTTACAATGTTAAATCGGCAAACTCAATCCAAGTATGCAACATCGGAGTTTACATACAAAGAAATACAATTGTATTTTTTTCATTAACAAACTGTTCAACTCAGATCAACCAGGCTGGATTTTTGGCAACGAATAGCCTCCATACAAAACAACACACAAAAAACATGCAGCATACATGTGTAATGTTCACAATGTGCTAAAAACGGCTCTTTATTAATTTCAACATTTCAGCAAGTGACACATTTTTAATGGGACAGAAATGTTGTAACCATTTAAAAAGTAGGATTTGTAAATTTGTAAGTTGGATATTTTTAACCTAGTTTGGTCAACACTCAATTAACACATTTTTACATATAAACCTGAGGTAAAGAAAATTGACAGAAAACAACTTTCATAGATTGAGATAGAGCCAAGATGTCGTAGATATTTGGGTTACAAAAGGAGTTTTTGATCCTGATAATGTTTTAAGTAGGATATACATATTACAAGCTTATATTCTTAAAATTTTGTACCGCCTTAATTCAATTTTTTTTAGTTACGTGCAATTATGTAATTATTATATCTTTAGTTAGTTTCTTGAGAAAAGGCTTAACAAAGGTGGTATCTTTTATTTAATAGATAATTTTTATAATGTGTCACATGTCGCCTTGAAAAAGTATTTTGTGATGATTTTGCGCATACTTAATCATGTTGGAACAACAATAGTTCATTTGTTTGTATACACAGCCTCATTGCTTATATTTTATTGACCTAGTAATTATGAAAACATTACAGCACTAATTGAAATTTAAGATTACACTTCGATTTCGTTGGTAATGTTTACAAGAATTGATATGGAGTATAAAGAGGACATTTGTTTGTGTGTAAGATGAAATTTTTCAGTATACAAACGGAGCGAATGGTGTGTGTTAAACTACCACACAATATGTCCAAGGTATTGAACATTAAAAGCAAATCATAGAAAACATTGTTTATTAAAGTCAGATTTTTCATTTTTTTTCAAAAGTGCTTCAATTATGGGAGAATGGCTGGTCGTCGTTACTTCCGCAGTAGCACAGCCGGTTAAGTGATTGACTGATATGTGAGAGGTCTATGGTTCGATTCTTACTGTTGCATTTTTTAAGACCTACTGTTTTTTGTTGTTGTTGTGCCACAAATAATGTTGAAAATTCATCTGAAGTGACATTTTCCACATTTTCTCCCTGAATTGAATTCGTTTTTACGAGATAAATAATTCCCTATTAGAAATATTATTTCGTTTTAAATAACGAAATATAAAATCTTAATTACGAGATATCGATTCGTAAATATTACGAAATATTAATTTGTTATTAGACGAAATATTTATTCTTTTGTAATATTTATAAACTAAGTTTTGTGTTAGATATAAGTCAAGTAAACAAAACATTAAAAGTGATTTTTTTTCAATCTTAGTCTTATACCTTAACGCGCTAGTAAAACAGTACTCTATATACTGTTTATTGAGCCATTAATCATTAATTAGGCTTATAAGCGCTATATTTGGTGGCCAATCTCATTATTTAAAATCTGATCATATTGAATAATCATTTGATTTTGACAAGAATAATTAATTGCATCATATTGTATCATAGTTTTAATGACCTATTTTAGTATTTTAAGCGGCCATTTTGAATTGACATTTTGAAAGTCAATGTCAATTTTATTTTCTTGGTATCCACCCTCATCGTCTTAAGCATACCCATATTAGGTTAAAACACTCAAGATATTACTTGTACTATAAAATGCCTCTAGCATTCATATTTTCTTAAAATCAGTCCTGTCTACAAGTTCCTCACATAATAAAAGGCCAAAAGACCTAACACAAGAAATATGTCCAGGAAATTTCCGCACGGCATGGTCGTTTTCTGGACCGCCGACATGTGCTTTCCGTATATATAGTGTGTAAATTTTCAAAAAAGGAAATGGCCATTTTCTCGAATCAACCGTTTAAACAACATTTGTCAGATTTCTATTCAGATTCGTTTTTATACACAATATATAATACCCAAAGCCCTATCCCAAGCAATATGTCAAGGAGATTTCCGCATTGCGTGGTCTTCGTTTTTAGGACCGGCGTTAAATGTTCTTTTTGTATTTTTTTTTTTGTGTAAAATCACCATTTTCTCAAGCACCATTTTGTCTTATTCCGTTGCAGATTCCTTTTTTTTATCATGCAACTGCTATGGTAACTGTCCGATAGGCCTAACACTTGCCTGATTATTATTTTTAATATCAGGTATCAAAAATAAGCCCCGCCCATTTTAACGGACTTTTTTCAATTGCCTATATTCTCATTTTATCAGCATTGTGAATTCTACAATTTTATCTCATACCCTTACAAGTCTTGAATCAAGAATTTATTATCTCTTTTTCGATTTCAATTACGAATAAATTAGATAGCGAATATTTTTTTTTGTTAAACACCAACTAAATGTAGTGAGTTCATAATTTATATTGCAAATGACATCATCGATGTCCACGTCATATTATACATGTAAACATAAAATACAGGCTAAACGATTTTCTTTGATAACTTTATTTCGCTAGATTATTATTCAATAAGTGAACAAATTGTTTAGTTCACAAAATAAGACGCATGTTTGTGTAGCTTATGTTTGATTGCCGAATTGACTTTTCTTTGATTGAAATGATCGTGAACTTTTGAATTTGACAAGGAAAAGGTGCAGTAAAGTTTATGTGACTCTTACTCTTAGGGATTTAAAAGGTAAGAATTTTATCGTGTTACATTATGTTGTATCTTTTGTCACAGGAATTAATTTCGAGTCGAAAGAAATAATGGCCGCCATTTACAAATTCTTAGTTTCAGTCGCGAAATAATTTGTTTTCAAGAATTATTTCTTTGAACAAAAATCACAGCGTACACTCCATCGTTCACAGTGACTTCCGCTTGCGAGCGAAATATACATCGAAAAACGCAGGACAAGGCTGAAAAAAACATGAAAAACTTGTCAAAATAAATAAATCATCGGATTTTTTTTACTTATATGTGTGGTACTGACATACTGTAAACTAAATTATTCATTATCAATATTCTAATGTTTAAACATATATTTTCAGACAAAATGCGGTTTCTCACTCAGTTTTCCCGAAAAAAAAATCAAAATTGTTTGCATCAAACGAAGATTTCAAAGCTTTAAACCTTATATTTGAACAAATCTTTTTGATGCTATCGAGAATTATGTTCTAAGCACCAAAAAATTAAACAATGTTATTTGTAAACGTCTTGGTTGCGAAGATATTGACAATAAATTAGCTGTTGATGTTCCCTCACTGTACGGTTGCTTGCAACCTCACTGTACGGTTGCTTATGAGGACTTGAAAAAAAACTGTACGGTTGCCAGGAACAAGCTGCAAGTTTTGTTACAATTAAAAACACAATTCTTGAACAGTTGGCCCATTTCAAAGGTTATAATGGCATTCATCATGCATTTAAACCATAAAAAATAATATGTTGGTTTAATAACTAATGTATGTCAAACTTTGTGATGGTAAATTGCGACTCTAATAATTATATACTTTAAGTGATTGAATTTAATTGCAGTTAACATATTTACATGCCATGAAGTTCAACGTATAATTTAATGTTATTGTAACTTCTCTCTTTTGTAGGTTAATACTAATCATGGAGACATATATGTGCAATTCAACCAGATGTCGTAGACTGTAGACCGTTTTTCTGTCTTGAAAGCTGTTCATATCTTAAGGCATATTGACATTTCAAACGGAATGTAAAATTTTGATAATGGACATTACAACAAAGATAAACCAGTGTGTCATTTTACAACTTAAGTTTTACATATTACTACAAAATGAGTCTTGTTGAAAATAAAAAGTCATGGTAATATTATCAAAATAGTTTATTATTATTTGGAATTATTAAAGACATTAGAAAATGGTTAAAATAAATAAATAAATGAATCACAGAAAATCAGATATGATCACAGTATTAAAACAATGTCGAGTGTACCTGCTCAGCAATAATAAAATAAAATAAAAATATAGCAATAACTGTACATGTATACACGATGAAGAGATGGACTTTTATAAAAGTAAGTTTAAAGTGTAACATTGATTGGTATGTTTTATCTTTTCAAATTCACATTGTCGTATTCTTAAATTGTCACAAATGTATATTTATATTGTGTACCCGAGTCCTACATGTATATTTAATATCAAAATACAACTTCTATTTAAGATAAGTAGTTATTTATCTTCACGATTGATGACCAAATATTTATTAAGTGAGTTCAGATGCCTAAAACACAACTTCTTGTTGTGTAAAATTCAAATGTCTAAAATAATTGTGATGATAATAACAAATAACACATTAACATATACGCCGGTAAAGAGATGCTATATGTTTTATATGCTCTATGAAAATCAAAATAATTCTTTAATTGTGTGCAGTTTTCTTATGATGATTAAGGCCTGGCCTCCATTTATAAAACTTGACACACTTATCACATTGAAGCTTTCGGCCACAGTGAACGACTTTCTCGTGATCTTTGAGGTGGCTGTTTTTAGTGAAGTGTTGCTCACATTCGGCGCAATCATATTTGACGTCATCATGTATAGTCTTTTTATGGCGGTCTAAACTGCTTTTATGTTGAAAAGTCAGGTTACATTTCTCACATTTCTGTTTGGTGTGTTTAACATGCGATGATACGTGTCCCTTATATGGAAGCAACTGGTTAAATCCTTTCTTGAAAATCTGGCATTCATATTTGAATTGTTTTAAATGCTCATTTTTTGTGTGCAAGGCCATTCCAAATTTAGACAAGAACTGCATTCCGCATACATCGCAAATCAATGTAGTTTTACTTGCACTTTCGGCTGTATCAACATGAACCTTTATATGTCTTTCTAGATTGTATTTCTTCCCAGTGTTATACTCACATATTTCACACGTAAACCGCTTTTTGTCATCTTTCTTTTTTATGTACATAATTATATGTGTCGCGTTAAATTACCTTTCTTGTCGGTGCAATAATCACAGATTGAACATTTATACTCTGGCATGGTCGTCGTTTCAACTTCACTTTCTTGAAAGATTTCGTCAAGCCCGTTTAAAACAAATGAGTCATCCATGATCTGAAATGCAGTAGTTGTAGAATTAGAACTGTATAGAAACTGAAAGTTTTAAAAAGGTGTCGCGTTTGTTTCTATAACTATCTCTGCAACTATTTTAACATAGGGTAAAGAAAATTAATGTTCAAAGCAGACTTACACCGCAAAATAGTTCAAACCTGCCGTCAATTATTTAAAATTAATTGCTGAAACTTGAATATGTCATAATTCAATAAAGTTATACTTTTTTAGTGTTAAAACATTGCTGAGAAGTTAATTTTCAAACTATCTAGACGACATATAATGCCAATATGCTCGCAAGCAACAGTACAGTGACCTCGCAAGCAACCGGATGAATTGTTTTTTCAGATTTAGCAAGCAACCGTACAATGAGTAAACTACACCAGTGCCGCCCAGTTCTATTGTCAATATTTTCTTAACCTATGTGTTCAAAACGGTTATTTCTTTTTTATTTGGTGCTACAATAATAGATCTTCAAAGATTTAAGTGGATTTGGTCGTATATTACATGGTAAGCTTTAAAATCGTTGTTTGATTTCAACAAAAAGGGCATTTCTGGAAAATTGTGGTGAGAAATCGCATTTGTTAACGGGAAAAGATATTATTACTGCAGGATATAGGCTGAAAAAAGTTTATATCATCTAACTCTTACTTACAAAAGTAGAATTTCTTCTCTGGTTATTCTGTATTGAAATATTGTACCTGTTTTTCTCTCTACGGTGGCGTTTACCGTGTACAGCTCGCTCGCAAGCGGAAGTTACCGTGGACGATGGAGTGAACGCTGTGAAAATGCTCTTTCTACGAAATTCGCTATTTGAAACGGGCTATTTTAGAATAATTTGACCTCTTTTTCGTAATTTAAGTGGAATGTTAGTGCCGTTCCAATGGAAAATTACTCTTTGTTCACTTCGCAATTTTTCTATAAAATATTACTGATTAACAGAATTGTTGGAAGTCAAAAGCAAAGTTGCAAAATTATGAGTTGATTCTAGAGACACAAAGATCTTTATTACGTTACAACCAAAACGAGGCTAAAGTCAGAGAGGCAGCAATTAAGGTACGTGTTACATGTAATTTTTTATGATTTTATAGCCGATATTGGGCCATATTCTTAACTGGAAATTTCGTGGGTTTTTTTACAAATTTTTGGACACTTATTTACTGAATGAGATATGGTATTAATTTATAAATTAAATGAATTATTTTCATATAGTTCTATGACTTTATTTACAGGATATGGAATTAGTACATAACAAATGGATGGTCACACACGAGAAAGACCATATTGCTTTTGAGAAAAAGTTCTTAGATGAGATAGGTTTCAGAGAGAAAATTCAAAAGGTTAGTCACACATATTATTGTGGTTAAGAGCATTACATAGAAATTAAATTGTTGGACAAACAGGTCCTTTTATATCTTATATAATGTCCATTCGGAACATTTCGCCTATTACCAATAAATATGGTCGAATAGGTGCGATTGTCAACTTATAAGCATAGACTAACATAAGTATTTTACCCTGATCTTGATCTTGATACTTTTAATACTTCTTCGTGAACACGTGCACGATGCTATATGATCAGGTCTGGCATATTTGGTCATTTTATCTTTAATATAGATCAGAAAAAAGTACCATTAAATGTACTGGTTTTAAATGTTGCTGAATTTTAAGCAAACTGTTACAAACCTCTTTACATATTTTTCGTTAACAGATGTCTTTTGAACTTGAACGTGATGTTGTTTGGATGCTTTATGACACCATCCGAACATTAATGTACAAGAACAATCAGAAACTGAGGTACGTGAAGTTATTAATTATAAAAATAATGTAACATTTACTCGGAAAATTTTCTCATTTAGTTGGAATATTTTGCAATAAAGTAAAACCTTTCAGGCAAGAAAATCACAGACCTTAGATTTGATTTGATTTGATTGATGACTGATTGTTTGATTGGTTGGTTTGGTTTGGTTTATTTGGTTGGTTGGTTGGTTGATTGATTGATTGATTGATTGATTGATTGATTTTAATATTTATAATTTAAAATTATTTCGTTAAGAAAATGTCTAGATTTTGAGAATCTTGACAAGTTGCTGTAATTGCTGTCAAATTAAGGAAATTCATTGTTGAACTGTAAAATTATAAATGAATTTCATAACGCAAACATTTATTTTTATATTTTCAGATCAAGAAAATAGATTTGGAAAGGCACTGAACAAGCATTGTCTTTGTTTTTCCCATTTGAAACCATTGTTTTACATTTGAAATGGGTTTTTATTTGTTGTTGTTTTTTTCCCATTTCAAATATGGGTTGGTTTTTTCCCCCTTTCAAAGTGGTTTTTTTTAAGAATCAAAGAAGAAAATTTAAAAAATCTAGTTAAATATACATAATATAACTAGATAATATGTGTTTGTATTTCTTTTACTCATATACAAATATCTTACGTAGTTAAATTGTGAAAATGTACTGTGACAAATTTGGTTCAATTTAGTGCCTTGTGGAACATTATATTTTAAGGTAAAATGTCATTTGCGTGAAGCATTTAATTTTGACAAATTTGTACATGTAATTGCTTTTTTTGTAAACATATATCCTCTTATCTACCATATATTTTATGAAAATTTAGTTTAAAAAAATCATTTAACACAAATTTGATTCAGATAAAAATATGTGTCTTTTTAAAACTTTATTACTAAGTTATTTCTAATTATTACTTTGAAATATTTTGATATTTTCAGGATCATTATTATGCCCCCTTTCGAAGATTGTTTTGCTAATGTCGGTCTGTCTGTCGGTCGGTAGACCACATGGTTTCCGCTGATTATCTTTAAACGTATTTATTACAGAGTCTTCATATTTCATATAGTGATCATTCATAACAAGTAGATGATCCCTATTGATTTTGGGGTCACTAGCTCAAAGGTCAAGGTCACAGGGGCCTTAAATTTCAAAATGGTTTCCGCTGATTATCTTGAAAAGTATTCATCACAAAGTCGTCATATTTCACTTAGTGATTGGTTATAACTAGTAGATGACCCGTATTGATTTAGAGTCACTAGTTCAAAAGTCAAGGTCACAGGGGCCTTAAATATCAGAATGGTGTCCGCTTATTATCTCACATATTGATTGGTCATAACTAGTAGATGACACCTTCTGATTTTAGGGTCACTATGTCAAAGTCACAGGGGCCTTAAATGTCAGAATGATTTCCGCTGATTATCTTGAAAAGTATTCACCACAAAGTTTTCATATTTCACATATTGATTAATCATAACTAGTAGATAACCCCTAAAGTCTACATATTTCACAGAGTGATTGATCTTAACTTGTAGATGACCCCTATTGATTTTGGGGTCACTAGGTCAAAGTCACAGGGTCTTTAAATGTCAGAATGATTTCCGCTGATTATCTTGAAAAGTATTCACCACAAAGTTTTCATATTTCACATATTGATTAGTCATAACTAGTAGATGACCCCTTATGATTTTGGGGTCACTAGGTCAAAGATCTAGGTCACAGGGGCCATGAATGGAAGTATGATTTCTGCTTATTATCTTGGTTACTATTTATCACAAAGTCTTCATATTTCACATAGTGATTGGTCATAACCAACAGATTATCCGTATTGCTTTTGGGGTCACTAGATCAAAGGTCAAGGTCACAGGGGCCTTAAATGTCTCATTATCTTGAAAAATAATTATCACAAAGCCTTCATTATGTTTTTTTTCCATAATTGAACATTTCCGTGTGCCCATTAATGCAAAGTTTCTATAACAAAATTACCAATAATGTGAGTCAAGAGCTAGAAAGTCGTTTCGAACATTTCTTGTTTGAAATACTTTTCAATAATAAGGTACCATTTACTACATTTGATTTACACATAATGTACTTAAAACCCATCCAATACATCACCTCTACTTTGAAGAGTATTCAAATAGGCTATAACTACTGTAAACTGCATTGACAATGAGGGACCCGGGTTTAAAATTCAAAGGAGGCAACTTTTTTCTTTCTTTTTTTCTATAAACATTATTTATGTGTCTCTCGGATCACTCTTGGAAAGAAAAAAGTGTTTCATTTTAATTATATAATTACTATCAGTATTTATTGGCTAAATTATGCCAAATTTAATATCAAATACTCGTATGCTACCTTGTATTTTCAAAGTGTAATTAATTTTTAAAAAAAACTACACTATAATATATATTTTATATTTGACGATTTAACAATATACTTTAAACTTTGAAAACAGCCCCTCAATTTGATAAATTTTAGGGATATTTTGAATAAGGCCCTCTAAGTACGAAAATAGTCAAACAGTTTTAAAATGGGTGGGTAAGGTAACATGTTTATACATATTTCAAACATTTTGAGAAGAAACAATAATTTTGCTAGCTGATTTGTTAGCTGAATGCTATTACTTGTTTCTTTAAAATGTTCAATAGGAAAACATTTTTTTATAATGATGATATAATAGATTATTAAGAGTTTCTCCTTTCTGAAAAAGAACCCTTCTTATAGCCAAGTTTTAGTTAGGAAAAATCTCCATAACTCGTAAAAATATCTGGAAAAAGTTATCCCTCGGAAGCATTAAAAGCAAAATTACATAAAAATTGCAGACTCGGTTTGATTGAGTCTGTACACAAGGGAAAATGTGCACCATTCCTCACGCCCCTAGCACCGGCTGAGCGGTACTCAATTCTCAACATTTTAAAGTGAATGACTCAGTTCAGTAAAATTTGTTTAAAATTTTCATATAGGTCTCCTTTGAGGTATATAACAGGCCTATGTTGTCAATTTTACAGTTCATTATAGTGCCAATTAGGGGGTCATACCTTAAGCATTGGATTGTTTCTCCTATTTTGTTTGAAAGTTTAGTTTGAAAATCCATTTTTTCTTGATAAGGTAAAGCAAGCAAAAGACCAGCAGGGAGTACAAGCAGTTTTGTAGGAAAACAAAGTAATATTTAAGACATCACTGAAATGTTAATTATCCTTGGCCTATATAAGGATATTGTTCTATCATATGCATTTCTGAATTCATTATTGAAGCGCACATTTTGTTTTCTCCATCAAATATTACCGATAAGTAAAGCATGTAGGTCCCATATGGTAGAATTGTTCTTATTGTTTCCAGCAAATTGTGCAAATAACAAGAACTTGAATAAACTATTTTATTAAATTGTGTTTAACTGTCGCATCTTGACTTTAAAATACAAATGTCATTCATAGAATAGCTGAATGAATAAAAAAAAAAGAAACAACTATGTCAGGCAGCCATGTTTTGAATGGGAACTTAAATGGAAAGCACTATGATACTATGGTATGTAAATTGATGGCCATTTTTTCTTCAGTAGTATTTTGTCAACAGAATATGACGTCACTGCAGTTTCAGCAGACGACCTTAACTTGTCAGAACATGAAATTACCAGTTTATCTGGTAAATATGGGGTAAAATAAAGAAGTATTTTCAACACGTGCGGGAAGCTATCAATGTCAGAAATTTATTTGAAATGAAAATATTTTTAACAATTCCTACCAAATTAAAAAAGCAGCACTTCGACTTTCACTTTAATGGTGGAAACAGCTGATTAGTGGCGTTCAGTGTGTAAAGAAACACATTTCCGATTACACGGGAACGGGCAAAGAGGCGATATCCGTGGGGTGTACTATATGAAAAAAATGTCCAACATAATATATATAGATATACAATATTAATGAAACAATGTATATACATGTATGTAAGTTAACAATAATTAAGTCTGGAATATATTTTTATTTTTTTCCTCCTGTTCAGACAATGTCATTTTATTTCCATGCCATATTGTTCATAAAACATTTTGAATTAATAAAAAGTGACATTTGGAATAAAGTCATTTCAGTTTTGCTATATCTGTTTTAAATCAGACCATTGATATCATGTGGAAATAAAAGCTACCTTAATTGAAAAACTTTCAAAACGTTTTTGAACTTCTTGTCAAGGTTACTCACATTGTTTACAATAAAAAGTTTATTTGTTTCATTACAGAACGTAACACACCATGGATATCTAACATGTCTGTCATCCTTCAAGAGTTCTTTGATCTTTTTACAGTCAGGAGTAATCATATGGATACTGCCATATTTAGTCCAGTTACACACAAGCACTGTACCGTCTCTTGTTACTTCTAATCCTCTCACATCTACCAGATCCTTGTCCTTGTATGTTGCTATCAGATTGCCATCAAAATCGAACTTGAAAACATCAAAACACTTAAGTGAATTACTGACATAAAAGATTTGTGAGCTTGGTATGACAGCAATATCAATTAACCATTTCATATTTGGATGAGATAAAGATTTTATCAGTTGTCCGCTCATGCTCATAATCTCAACACTCGTGTCGGTTATACCAATAATCTTATCTTCATGGATTGCAATTTTCTTACAACTTGTATGGACATTGATCATATCACTTTCAATGATTTTATTTCCTGCTGTTATTGTGAGAAATTGTATCTTCCTATCACCAGGAAATGTCACAGCAACCCGATTGGGATTTACTACTGCTACACCAGTGGGACTATACTTAAGATTGTACTTCGAAACTTCTTTGTTATTGACATCAACTAATTTCACACATTTATTTTTCTCATCAGCGACTATAATCTGACTTGGGCAAATCAGTGCACACTTTCCAATAAAGCAATCTGAAGCATCATCTTGTGTTTTAATGTTAATCTCACAATCAAAATAAGCATCCATTTCAGAAATACTCTTCCTGTCTAAACCAGTGTGATCTGTTACTTCTTTGCCAGAAACAAGACAATCGTGTTTTGATGCCCTGTTTTCGATCTTTTGCTTTGATCCATCAACTATGTCACCGAGCGGTACACAAGCCTTGACCATTTGCTCCATGGAAGAAGAATGTTGAAACGTATATACATCAATGCTGATGTCTTTTTTCAACCTATTCAGATTTTCGTCAATAACGTCAAGTTTTGCTTTTACTTGTTTTGCCTCAACAAACAAATCATTCGCTTGGTTTACCTGTAGCTGTAATTTCGTCTGTATTTCTCTAATATTTCTACCAATACTACTTTCTGCTTGCTGTAGTTCCTGTATCAGCATTTCATTCTTCTTTTTCCTTTCGTTTATCATTTCAAGCATTTCACTTTCTGCCTTGTTAAGATAATCGATGATTTCTTTCTTGAATGCTTTGACATCTTTAATTGCTTGTGTATAGGCTTGTCTCATGTTTCCTTCACTGGCTTGTAGCTCCCTTTTTATTTCATCCATATCTTTTACAAACTGCTCTACCTTCTTTAGGATATTTTGGTGCTCAGTGCCATTGAAATATTCTGTAGATATATCTTGTATACGATCAACTTTACAGGATTTATGATCAATGATCATACAATCTCCACATCCCACTGCATCATGTGACATGCAAAAATATTTTATTATTTCATTTTCGTGTTTGGTACATATATCAGAACAAGCGTTTGGGGTTACAGTCGGAAGTGTTACTTTAGGCATATTGTCACCATCCAGAATAATATGATTTCTTGACACAGCTTGCTTGCGGTGGACTTTTAGACACACTGCACATAAATACTCGTTACAATTTTGACAGTATCCAATGGCAACCATCGTATCGCCATCACTACTACATGGTTGACAAAATATTGTTCTTTGTCTACTCAAAGACTTCCTTGCACTATCTTTGGGTGAGCTGTCCTGTGTTCTACCAGGGACCTCCATGTCTTACCTAATGTTGACCTTTATTTAGTCAAATTACATTTTTTATGATGCACTTCCTGCTTTGTCTGTTTCTTTGTCTATTTCAGAAAAATGGAAAGAAAATAACAATAATGTTTAAGTAATTATGATCTCTTTTTTGCAATGCAATGCATAATATCATATTGAAATTTTAAGCTTAGATGATAATCACCTCTTTGCGTGATTGTATCACTATTATCCTACGAAACGTATTTAAAATTCATTTCAGAACTTTATGATAATTAATACAAAATTGAACCATTATGGGCTTTTTTATTCAAATTCAAGTTTGGTTAATTTGATTTTAATATACTATTGATACTTTAATAGTGTAACACAAACCTTCAATTAAAACATTAAAAAACGTTATTGTATGTAATTACACTACATGTTGCATTTAGATAAAGGTTAAAAAATTGTCTCTATATCTGACATGGTCCTGGACTATGTGATAATTCATTGAGTTTATGTAAAATATGATTGGTTCACTCTAGGTAAATACTATTTAGCTAAATGTGTGAATACTAATATGGCCAGACATTTCCAATTTACCATTATCGTACACTTAATATTCATCTAGTAAAAAATTCAAATCTTTACATTACCTGACTTAAATGTTGTAATATTGTAATCAATTTAATTTGAATCATCAAACTTTGAGCTGAAACACACTTAGTTGCTTTAAATGTCAATGATGGCTCAGGAATGCTTTTATCTTCATTTCTCGAAAGCTTTTTTATTTTGGTGCCCTGTTACATTTTCCAAAAAGTTACTCATTGCTAATATTTCTGAGTCATTGTTTTGCTTTGTTGCTTTTTGGAAATTAGTACAGCTATAGTGCTGTAGTATTTTGTATGGAAGTCAAAAAAGTACAGTAAACTTCACTTTTAGCGAACACGGTTATAGCGAACTTCCGGTTATAAGGAACAATTTTGCCATTCTTTATTTAATATAAAAATATACGGTTATAGCGAACACGGTTATAAGGAGCTATCGCTTATAAGAAACTCATTTCTTAGTCCCAATTTAGTGAAACGTACAGAAAATTACACCTTTATAACAACTCCAAAATAGCGACTATCCGTAAAAAGATGGCACGGATAAAAACTCGTTATTGTTTTGTGTACTTCAATAAATATATGAAAATGAATTTGTATAGCAGTACTCAATAGTTTTCTATTTAGGACTTTTTAGCATGAGTTCTTGTCACCAAGATAAAACGGTTTTTCCTTTTATTCTATTTATTATTTTCTTTAATAGTTTGCTTCAGTAAAATATCTATGATCATTTATAATCAGTTTTCAACGTAATCACGCATGATTTCAAGCATATTTCATTGAAAACTGCAAAGTACGCTTGATTGAAATCTATATCTTTCATTATTAAAAATCACCCTTTAAATACAATAGAAGATATTCAATATAAAAGGAAAGAAAAAATCGAAAATCTTGTTTATTCTTAATAATAGAAAGAAAAAGACAAGCACTGAGCTTAGAAACAAAATATGATATTTTATGAGAAATTGATAAAGGGAGAAAAACTAAAATTGAAATAGCAAAGGATTTTCAATTTCCAAAAAGTACGCTCCCGGGTATTGTGTCTAAAAATTAAATAAATGACTTATTTTTCTTGATCAAATGCTCTTCAAAATGGCGGACGATGGTAAACAATCAGTTCGTCATAAGTTAATCTGTTTGGTATAAAACTCCTGATACAAGAAAATAATCCGCTTTATGCTTACAAGGAACTCCGGATATAAGGAGTCCCAATGAGTTCGTTATAAGCGAAGTTTACTGTACTTTGTTTACATTTTGATACCTTCATGACAAATTAATTTTCATTTAGCGTTAATACTTTCTTTCGATAAATATCTTATATGCTTCTAAACCATTATTTAAACACTGTAATACCTGAATAAGTGGAATAATATATTTGTTTCAGAAGCATATTATGCTTTTAATATCTATTTTAGTTTAACCACAGGCAATCGGCACATTTTCTTGCCAATAATGGTCAAATTCTCAACAAATAAACTCCCTTTAGATATCAAGAACAAATTACTATCCAGCAACCGATTACTATATATAACATATACAAGGTATGTAGCTCTCCATAGCATATTTGTGATTAGTTAAGAAATAATATATCGCAAATTGTGATTTTATCGCTCAATAAAATCACTGTTTGGAGTTCCGATGTGAGGAATTAGAGCTCTATATCACGAGGGCGTAGCCCGAGTGATATAATGATGCGCATCCGAACGACAAACAGTGATTTTATCAAGCGATAAAATCACCGATTTGGATATATTATTTCGATTCTAACACGACATCAGAAAATAAATTGTGCCGTGTCTGATATTTATCTAAATTGCGCCTGATATGTTTCCGTAGTTATTTTCAGCGTGGTTACCATTGGTAAAAAAGATTAAGGCACCACATAAACAATTCTAACTGTATTTAAAATATTTATCTGAATCGTTAAAAACGATAGACTAGTGATATATAAATACATGTTAGCATAAAATCTTACCTGCAGGTTAATAAACCACAGTCAAATGACATATTATATACAAACGACATATATTATATTAACGCCTGTTTTCATAAAAAATCAATCAATATGACTTCGTGGAAAAGAAGTTTATTTACACTTCCTGGTTCACAGGGAGTAGGTTTAACATGGAGTAGGTTAACATAATTTTGACACGCGTTAAAATCAAGTCGCTGTCATCTATGAGGTAAAGTTTAAACCACAGTAATAGCTAGATAGTACTGTTTATTTATATAAATGTGTACTATCAATAAGGTTGCATAACACATTTTTGTTCACTTCTTTTTTTTTCATGACTTTGATGTTGCAGTTGCTGTTCATTTTCTTTTCTAATGATTGTTTTATTTCATTTTTGTGAAGAAAAATATTGATAATGGCTTGACCGTTGTTTGTGTACATAGCTTATTGCAAAAGGTTAATATACTGTAATGCTAATGTTCTTTGGAGAAAAAACAAAAAACAAACAATTTAAGGCATAACACAGTATAGATAATATGGCGACTTTTCATCTTTACTGGCGGATGAAGACAAACCGAAACATCAGGTACCACTCCTTGTATTATTTAAGGCACGTACGGTGTCCTGAGTAGAACCACCGATGTTTCGTAAGCTAGCTGGATAGTTTTATAATATTAAGGATCCGAATTATCTGACGAGATTCGAGCCCACAGAGGTGAGGTTCTCGTGGTTTGAAATCAACGACCAAGTGTTTAAAACGTTTTCCTGATTTAATCATTTTTGCTACATGAATGATTAATAAAATCTATCATTGGGTTAGATAGAGGATAGGGAAATCCCAACCCGAGGGTGATCGGTTCCATCGGGACGAGCCTTGCCAGTAACGACTCTGCCGAGTTTCCGCAAAACAGTTACCCGAGAGCTAGAAATTCCCGTCTGCACCGACAGCCGGTGTTTGATTCTTTTTCTTGCATATAACATATCAATTATTTTCAGAACAGAAATTACGAAAACTGATATTCTCATTACGCACTTTTTCTTATAGTAGCGTATGAACTTTTTTAACTTCATTCATAACGGTTAAGTGACGTCATCCTAAGAACGCAATTCATGATAAAAGGCGCGCGGCAATGACGTCATTTAAAGCACGCGACTTGTCTTACATAGGGTTTTCTAGCACCGGTGTAAATGGTAGATAATCCTGTCTGATATGCAAGAAATACTGTTTTGGTATATGTATTATCATTGTAGAAATACTGTTTTGGTATATGTATTGTCATTGTATAAATACTGTACCAGTAGGGGAGACTGGGGCACTCTGGGACAGAAATCATAATTTTCAATCTCAGGACTACTTAACATATCTTAAGGATTGATGCTCTCTTTCATGGATGAAAAGGACAATATGTACTGGATATAACAGATAACTATCTGAAACTAAATTAAGTTGACTGGGAGATATGCATTAGAATACGGTCATTAAAATGGGCTAGGGGCACTCTGGGACACCATATATGGTACAGTGGGACATGCTTGGGTACATAGGACAACATGTATAATTTCATTGAAACTAAAAAGATACTGGAAATGAGAAAACTGTTAAAGAATAAACTTTATCAAACTGTTTATGAAAGTAGAAGAACTAAGTATCAGTTTAACACACAAACAGGAGTCCAATAAATATCTCGATATATTTCAGTTACAACAGGTTGTACTTAACTATAACAAGAGCCACCACCGGGTGGGGACAGCACTCACTTTTTTACTTTTTCTAAAAGCAAATAAATAAACAGTTTAAACAAATCTTTAAAATAAAATTAAGGGGAAAAATAAGTTTTTCCTTAAAACATCTGCGGATGTTTCTAAAATCTAAATTTTTCCAGTGCATGTTAAATGTGGAATTCTGCTTAAGCCGTTGGGGGCAGGGGAGGGGGCGGTTAATTGCACTTTCCATTACTGTTTATGAACAGGCTCAATCAAACTGAGCCTGCAATATTTTCACTTTTGCTGTGTTGGGCTTTTTTTAGGAATTCTGTTGAAAATTCTCTATTTTTTTTTTAATTTTGAAAGCTGCGTATAGTCACATTTGGTTTGTCAAAGCATGAATCAATTCCATAAATAAATGACAAAGTTAGGAAAATATAATCAAAATTCATTCATTTGACGGTCATGGTCATTTAAAGGCCAAGGACATATCTAAATTATTCCACATGTCTGTTTGATCACAAGTGTTGTTATGTCCACATATGAATCAAATTCTTCCATAATAAAAAAATATGACAACCAAAATTCAATAATTTGGCCATGGCGGTCAAGGTCATCTAAAGGTCAAGGTCTTTTCAACCTTTCAGAAGCTCTTGTCCAAAATTTTGTTTTGTCAAAACATGAAGATAATTCAATTATTTATTACCAAATTACAGTCAATTACAGCAAAAATCAGTGACAATCACTGACAATTCAATAATCTAACTGTCAAGGTCGATACACATGAAGGTCGTATCCAAAAGAATGTTGTTTCTTAATATGAAGTCAATCCATTCATGAAAAACAAAATTAAAGACACTTACAGCAAAGAAAAGAAAATTTAAATAAAATGACCTTCAATGTCAAGGTCATTTATAAGTGAAGGTCAATGTACGTCTGCTGAACTTGAAGGTCTATCATAAATGGTTATTATGTTTGAAGTTTGACGACAATCCATTCAAATTACAAAATTATAGCCACTATTAGAAGAAATCAGCATAAAAAAGACATTTGATCTTGAAGGTTAAGATCATTTATGAATGAAGGTCAAGGTAAGTCTGGACTACCCAAAGGGTTATTGTGGCCACGTATGAAACCAATACACCAAGAACTTAAAAAGTTATGATCAAGGTGAAAGTTTGCGGACGGCAACAGGAACGGCAAAGCGGTCATGACACTGTGAAATACCTTTTGTTGAAGATAGCCTCACCCCCTATTGGTGATGGCTGTTAATTACATCCGTGTTTGATAAATCAAGATTTTTGTATAGGATTAAACAGATTGGTGCGGAGTCCTTTAAAAATATTTTTTAGTCTCAGTAGGTCTTTGACTGCTAAAATGTTGATATCTTGAAAATGAGTTCCGGTGCATGGAAGACATTGTAGAAGATAGCATAGACTCATCTGCTAATGAATTATGATGAATAGATTATATACAGTAAGGCAATTATCAAAGTCTACCCTTTACAATTGAGCCCCGTCATGACAAAATGACCCTTCGGGCAATTTTCTTCGATTTTTTTGTTTCATAATTTTCATAGAAACCAATTATTACAGATGATTTTACTTTTTATTTGACGAAAAAAATGAAAAATGTAAAAGATATATCTTTTTATGTACATATAATAGACCTATGTGTTGCTTCGACGTCGACGACGACGTTTTTGTAAACGTTGAACGTTTGAAAGAACGTCGGGGTTTAAATATTGCTGAATTGCTTTGTTTTAAGAATGGATTTTGTAAGAACCAATAAAGACAGTAACTCCAAGTGAATTTATTTTACAGTCCTATGAAGTTTATATTTATCACCAATTGTAAGTTAGTTAAATTTACAATAAATAATGTGACTGTAACATTCGGGTAGCAGACATGCAGGTGTAAAAGGCGCTATTATACAGGCCTTTTTAAGTATCGCACATTTACTTTAATGTCGGGCAGTAATCTTAATTCGAATACAACTCTGATCGGGTTCATTTTGTAGCTCTACATAAATATGCGCACACAGCTCTGCGCGGCGGCAAACAAAAATGTCAAATTTTTAGAACTTTCAAAACAATTAATTAAAGATGAATTCTAGACCGTCAAGTCGTGGAGGTGGCGATTCAGGGACAGCGCAACTTCTTCTTCGGAAACTATGTTGTAAAGTAACAGGCTTGTCAGAGGGTAAGTAACTTGAGAATACCGTAACCTGGTCAGTTACCAATAGCTTAGCATGGTTTAGTTCTGGCTTCCAAAACTTTATAAGCCGCTTTTTAACATTTTTGTTTTTCATCTGATGCGGCATTAAAGTTTTTGATTAGACCCGTTACGAAACCTAACCAGAATAACATAAGTAGATTTATTCTTGTTTTTCACTTGCAAATACACTTGACCCAATCAATTCTTGTGCATTTTACGATAAAACAATTATTTTAATATCGTTCTATACCAATTAAAGTATCAGGCAAAGCCTATGAGCGGGGAAGTCGTTAAAAATTTATTTTCATTCTTTCCGTTTAAAAGGTGTCATTCGGTATTTCATGCATCGCTTCCGTTTTCACTCGGAACACTCGGCGATTATTATTAATCCGAAAAGTTGAGATTTGTTCCGTTATCGGAATACCACGCCTATTATCATTGAGTAGCATTGTAAATGGCGGCGCCCGACTAGAACTGACACTGAAAATTTCATTGATAGGTATAGAATTCTATGTATTTTTGAATTGTTTTTTTATTTGATTTTCTTTTAAATATACACGTGTAGTCTATAGCCGGGCAAGCCAAAGCCCGGACCCGCTTCGCAGGCCCAGTCTTTGACTTCCCCATATTAATACTGTCATTAAAATTGCCTATTTAACTGTAAAACATCAATTTACCCGACTAGTTGGCCATGACATTCAGGTGCCACGCGAGACCTCGTATGACGTCATTAGCGGGAACAGATTTGAATAGAGTCGTGTACTATATTTAGAACATTTTGTTGACATGATTTCGATATTTTTATTCAAGATAATGTTTTTATTTATTTTCATTAATTTTTTAGTACTTAAATATGATTTTATTGAATATAAAAGTCAGTAAATCACCCTTTTCAATATCTTTAAAAAAAGTAATTTATAAAAATATTGGAGGTACATGTGTTCATAAAGGTCAATCTCGTAATCACGTGGTCAAACATTTTGGCAATATGGCAGCCAAGTGCCGAAATTTTTACCTGTCGGAAACTATTAGGTAGTTTATGTTCGTAATAAGATTTTTATTTGTCCATCCTTGGCTTATCAACAGATTATATATAGTTTTATCAAGGTATGCTTCACTTTACTTCATGGCATGTTCGATGAATAAATACGAGCGTGTCAGATTCCAGGCACGATTATTGGTTGACTTTCCCTACGGGGTTATCTTCAGAGTTCACGTCATGTCATAGTATATAAACGGGTACGCTGAAGACCTTAAGCTAAGCATGGTTTAGTTAACCCAGGCCCCACCAAAATAAAAATTGGATAAGGCACCTCATCCATTTGTCAAGCGTCTTTCAATTTGAACTGGATCTCTCAATTTGAAAAACCTTATTCTGCCTTAAGTTTTTTTAGTGTAAAACACACAGGGGTCCCACACAATGTTGGGATGGTATATACTGCTTGATGGTGACCTTTAAATGAGATTTAAGTCATAACCTTATAATATGAAATTAGGTGCTACCTTAGGTCCTATCGTGCGGAAAGCTCTTATGATTTATGATTTAAGCATAACATGTTTAGTGTACATGTTAACCAGATCTATCATGCAATTCGTTAATAAGTAAATGCAGGTATTTTGTACTGTAAACAGAAACGAATAAATTGGTGTTGTTCAACCTATCATCGGAAGAGGGACCATTGTGCATGCATCCGCGTTTGGAAAATCCTGTCCGCCATTTTCTGTTAATCTCTAATCACATATGTTGTTTTTACATTATTTTTAATGTGCTAATTTATCAAAAAGGGTTTAAAAGAAACTTTTTACATTTATCATTGATACTATAGTTCTTATAAAATGAAATGAATGTTTATTTTCTGATTTTGTACATCATTCTTTCACCCGAAGTGTTATTAAGCATGCGTCTGCTAGCAATAGTCTGAATTATGTAGACGCTCATTAAAGGTGCTGTGATATCTTTATTTAGCTCAAAAGGATTTCAAAATGGCGGCGCTCAGTTACCCACAGCTCATTAGGTATAGGATATATATTTTTTTGAAATTTTCATTTACTTTTAATTTGATTTCATTTGAATTGATACGCGTCATACATGTTATCTAAGAGCACTACAACCCTTCGTGGGGCCTTCGACCCCATTCGGACTTTCCGCGTAAAAATATAGACAAGGAGCATTACTTACTAAGTAGAGAATTTTCGACCACCCACAAATTCATGCAAGATTTTCCTCTAATTAAATAAAAAATTTCCACAAACTATACTGCGTTGCATAGCTTATTCAATCCACAATGGATAAACACTAACTCTATTCTGATTCCCTTAACCCACTGTAAGATATTTATTCCAAACCGTTAACTTCTGTCACAAAATTGCTTAGTCAAACGAGATGTAGCAACACCAAATTCTACGGGTAAAAACATCAATTTTAAAAGTGGGAGGTACAAATAAACACATGCAAACAATAACACAACATAGTTTCTATTACCTACCTGTGCAAATAGTAGTGAAGCGCTCTACATTCGTCTGTTTCGAACAAATTCTTCAAATCTGTCTGAGGGCAGAAATCTGCTTCGGCCAAGACATTTTGGAAACTCTGGTCACATGAAAATGCCGGTGTATCGGGACCTTTCATTCCTTATTGCCTTGAGTGAGAACCAATGAAAGGTCTGTGTATATCTTCCAAAATTCATTAAATATATACATGTATTGATGTAATCTGTTGTAAAATTTCAGGTGATGTGCAACCATATTTGCAGCGAGCCTATACAGTGTTAGGGAGGTATACAAGTTTAACAGTGATTTATTTAACAAACTACAAACTGATAAACATTTAAGCAATAAATCTTTTTCTTTTCAAAATTTTTACCACTACCAAAACTAGTCAAATTTTACTGACACTCATCACTTGGCCTAAACTTTAAATGTCCGAGAACACTGATTTAAGTCAAGAATTTATGTGTGAGCATGAAACAATTTTGAAACAGTAAAATGTAGATGTAGAACAAAAAAAAAACTATAAAGATTATTCATTAATTTATTAAATAACATAAAACTAAGCATTAAGCCACTTTAAAATTCTGTATAGATTTCATTTTGATGTAAACAACCCTTGATTTAATGGGAAATTTCCTCATCATTTCAGTAACTGCAGTACACCAGCTGAAAGTGATGAATTCCAAGTCTCGGAAAGAATAAGACGAAGATGTAAGAATAAGGATTAATTACTTTTAGATTCAGCAAAGTAAACTTTATGGTGATACATGCTACAGGATTTTGTAAATCTCGGATATAAGAATTTATACCATTATTTCATCACATTCCCATATAAACAGATGCAAATGTAAAAGCTCTGGTTATTTGATGAAATAAGAGTTGTGAAAGTAATAAAGTTTGTTGAAGTAATAATCTTTTTATTATGGTGCTTCATCATACTTTATTGTAATATAAGTAAATATATATCTGTAAGGTAATTTTTTGGGGGGAAGGAAAGGCATTATTTTGCCAAAGCTTGACATTATATATTGGCAAGAATTTATATGAAAACAAAAATCGTTTCATGAGCACATTCAAATGCTGTCATCATCATCGTATTTTCAGTGGTACGTCGAGGCAGAGAGAAAGATGCGATCACATTTACAGAGCTACACAGGAAGTTACAATCTCAGGTTAGAACTACATTCAATTATAAAATCCCACATTCTGTTTTCAGTTATGTTCCATTTATTCATTCATTCATTCATTAATCTGAATCATCTAATGAAGTCATTTAGTGTAAATATTCAAATGCCCACTCCATCTGCAATTGATTATGAATTATCCTAAGAATATGTTTGTAAGGATATGATTTGTGTTTCCAGTTAGTTAATGGAGAGTTTTTAACTTATTATTAAAGTACAGAAATCATCATTGAACCTACACAGCTAGCGATCCTTAGATAACTAGTGATAACAACACTGCCATATCAAAATTTCAAAAAAGTTTCTGTGATAAAATTTCTAAATAATTGTTAAAGTAAGACTAGTTTATTATATAACGCACATAATTTAGTAAATATAGACTTCCTTTAGTTGACATAGAGTATTAAAATATTTTTGCATTTTCTGGGGTGTTTTTTATTTGCTTATAAAATTTTGTTGAAAACTGAAAAAATTTAAATAAAGTTTTTTCCAGTATTGGGTATTTTTTATTTTCGGGGTTTAGTAAAAAACAGAGGGGAAATTTTTTACTTGCTTCTTCATTAAGTGAGGTGAAAAAAAATTGCAAAAGTTTGGGGGAAAAGTAGTTTTTGTATGTTTTTTTTTTTTCTATTTAAATTCCCCTTTAAAAAAATTGAAAAAAACCCTGAACATATCCTTTGAAACCCCCAAGGGTTTTGTTTTTCTTTTTTCAAGGCAAAAGGTGTTTTTTAATGATAAAAAATTGGTTGAAATTGTAGGGAAAGCTCTTTTTTCCCACCTTAAATTTTGTTTTGTATTTGCCCTTTTAGATTTTAAAACAATTTGACTTTCGGGTCTTAGTGTCTGGGAGTGTTTTTTATTATATCGGGGCCCCCCTTTTGTCCCTAAATAATTTTTTACTACATTATCCTTTTGCCATTTTCTAAGCTCAATAATTTTGGCCATTTATGTGTGTTGTGGATGAAACCCTAGTTAAAATAAAAGTAAACTTACAGGATCGCCTTTTTTTATTATAGCCAGTTTACATGCTTTTAAAGATTTTTGGGTATAAATTTTCCCACATAGGGCTGGCGTCATTATTTGGGGAGGTTTCAATTTGCAAACTCCACACCGTTCAATAGGCAGCCCATAGTCGGCCATGAGTACCCAATCTGATTCGGCCAGTAGCATAAACACAGATGTCAAATAATCAAGCTAGTGTGGTTTCGGTTCCATAGTGGAGTAGAAGTACGACCCTACCCTGTCCAAATATTTTTACCCAAGGTTTTATTTACGTGTAAAAATTTCTTTTTTGTATGGACATTTCCTATAAACGCATTATTTGTTGTTGTGTAAGACATTAAAAAGAAGGTCCTTTTGAGTTGCTTCTTGTTTGCATATAAAAGAATCAGTTTATATTTATTTCAAAGAAGAACAGAGACTAGCTGAATCTTAAAATCATGGCCAGTAAATGCAAAAATGAATCTAGAAACAAGTTTGTGGTCATTAAAGTTACTCCCATCCAGATGGTGAAGTGAAAAAATGAATGAAATGAAATTTTAGTAAATACCTGTCTAATTAGGTTAAATGTGTTTTATTTTACAAGTACAACATTTGAGGCAGTAAATGGTGAAAGAGCACACAGACATGGACCAGTATCCCGATTAGTGGGGGCTATATCCAGAAATGATCCAGGTATATCAAGACAATAATCATTGTCACAAATATTCAATGTAGATTAATAAATAAATATAAAAGGACTCATTAAATAAGTAAACTAGTGTTAACTGTTGGTACTTTAAGTAACATGTGGCCATCATAGCACAAGTCAATGATTTTCAAGGTTAGTCTATCATGTTTATAAGTGATACTATGTAATAATATGGATTATTGTGATAAGATTTCCATGTTATCATTGTCAATTTTGATGTTGAAATACCCACACAAACTACTATATAAAATCTGTTTATGTCAAGAAAAAATTCTTCCTATTGAGCATGCAGATTAGAATTAACTAAAAAGACAGTTTTGTGTTAGAAAACCTCATTAAACGTTACTTGTATGCAGACTTACCATATTAACAGATGGTGATCAGTATCATCTGTTGAAATGCTGTTAAAATTGGTTGTCTTTTCAGTCTGCAGATTAAAATATCCCCCCTCCCCAGACCCTTGGCAAAATCAGTGGTTTTAGTAAGCACATCTGTTGCCTCATATAAAATAAAAACCCTGTGTATGAACTATTAATAGAAGTTTCACTGTAGAAAGTACATTTCATGATTATTGACAAAATGAATGAATTTTTATGTTGGTTTATTACAGGGTCAGATACAGCCCTGGTGCCAAGAAGTGGGCGTGGTCATTCTGCTGGGGTTATCAAGGTACAGGGAGAAAATAGTATGTATTAACTACCTGATATATTTAAGGTTTATAATGTTGCAATTATGAGAGCTCATCAGTAATGTCCACTTTTTTGCTGTAATACTTCAGGAACAAAATGCCTCAAAATTGTCATAGAACAGGTTAAGTATACATCATGAAATTTGTAAGTGCTTTCTTCTAAATGTATGCTTATTCAATATTAAAAATGGTTATTAACGCTATCAGTGGTCTTTTGAATGATTTTAATGCGAAATGATTAATCAACTAATATTTGTACTATGTGCATATTTCTTATTAGTAATTTCAGCAATTTATCAAGGATATTTATGCATCAGTGCCATTTCTCAGTTATCTATGAGAGTATCTTTAATTTAGTTCTGTTATAAACTTTGAATTTTAAACATATCTTGTGTATATTCAATGTAAGTTAATAAAAAAAATATTAAAAATTTCAGCTAGTTTTGAAATACCAGAATCTGAGCTTGTGAAAGATTTGGTGTATGTTTTCCAAGGTATAGAAGGAAAATGGATCAAGTTTGATGCTTCAAAAGATGCATACAAAGTTGATGGCCAGGTTGGTAAAGATTTATATTTCATGAGCTTGAATATTTCATTTAATTATTATGATATTATAGATATATCATTCATTGACAATATTTGTTTATTTGATAACCATGATATTTATGGAAGTACTTGACTATTTTTAGAGCAGTAAAGGAGGTATAATACATGTAATAATAATTGATTAAAACTAATTGCTCCTGACTGTTGTTAGTATGTCATTTTAAGAGGGCAAAGTCATAGATATGGGTGCTAGCCATTCATCTTGAAATGTTTAGTTGTACTAGATGTACAAAATGTTAATAGTGTGGACTTCTTTGTCTTCATTCTACGGTTAAGTTTAAAACATGCTTTATGATAATAAAGGTAAATTGTTGATAGCATGTGTGGAAAATGAAAGTTTTTCACAACTTTTAGGCTGGGATACCGAAAGCAATACGACAGCTTGTTAGTAAGCTGGCAGAATGTGGCTGGTTATTTAACAAAGTGAAGAATTATGTGGAAACAAGAAGTGCAGATAAAACTTTTGGACTTGTTGGACAGGTACGGTGATCTAATTTGACCAAATGTCTAAACTTGTACGAGGGTTGTCCAAAATATCCGTGCACTACAGTTATTATCGTGAGAGTTATTGGTAGAAAAACATGAATTATATATCACTTGGAAGAAAAATCTGTCTTAAATAAGAAAACAAAAGAAAAATCTGTGTAACCGGCGTGTCGTGGAAAAGAATCATCATACAGTAACCTTAGTAACGTAATACCGGCGCACGACAAAAAAGTGTTAGTTCATTGCTTTGATTGTATTAATTGTTGTTGCTTTGTGTTTAAAGTGGCATTTGCTTTTTATGTCATAACTTGTTTACTGTCAATAGAGGAATGGCTGATGCTAAGTATTTTGTAATTTTATTGTTCTTATGCAACCTACATGCAACATATTCCACCAGTATATGAATATATTGGACAACCCTGCACATGCGCCGGCATTACGGACTGACGTCTTTCTGATCGGTTGTCATCGTCTACCGACCCTCTCCCTACTACAGAGCGTTTGTGCCATTTATAAACCAGCCTTCGTGACACTAAACTGACCCCGCTTGCTTTTTATATGCCCGAAAGAATTTCGGACATATTATGTTATACCCCCTGGCGTCTGTCCGTCCGTCTGTCCGTCCGTCCGTTAGCAATTTGGTTTCCGGAGCATAACTTAAGTTCCATTTGGCCCACAATATTCAAACTTCATAGGATGATTATCCATATTGGGTAGAAGACCCCTATTGATTTTGGGGTCATAAGGTCAAAGGTCAAGGTCACTTTGACCTTAAAACTGAAAACAGTTTCCGGAGCATAACTTATGTTCCATTTGGTCTACAGTGTTCAAACTTCATAGGATGATTGTCCATATTGGGTAGAAGACCCCTATTGATTTTGGGGTCACAAGGTCAAGGTCACTATGACCTTAAAACTGAAAACAGTTTCCGGAGCATAACTTAAGTTCCATTTGGCCCACAGTGTTCAAACTTCATAGGATGATTGTTCATATTGGGTAGAAGACCCCTATTGATTTTGGGGTCACAAGGTCAAAGGTCACTATGACCTTAAAACTGAAAACAGTTTCCGGAGCATAACTTAAGTTCCATTTGGCCTACTGTGTTTAAACTTCATAGTATGATTGTCCATATTGGGTAGAAGACCCCTAATGATTTTGGGGTCACAAGGTCAAAGGTCAAGGTCACTTTTACCTTAGAATTGAAAACAGTTTCTGGGGCATAACTTAAAGTTCCATTTGGACCACAATATTGAAACCTCAAAGGAGGATTGTTATTTGAAGGAGGTAATACTTTTACTCCCATGTCTTACAAATGCTTCATCTTTACTAAAAAAAAAAAATCACTTTCGGGCATATAATGCTCCGCCTAGCGGTGCTCTTGTTAAGTTCTTTGTAGGTATCTGTTGGTGTTTTTCCAATAATTGCACAAAATTTAATGATCGTCCATATTTCAAGACGTTTAGCGACTGACATTTTCATGCTATGACAGTATTGACAACCACACGGAAATATTTGTTCACGGCTGTTACAATATGATAAATGACTTTATTTTTTCTACTGACTTCAGGAATACGTATGCACACTTTTCTATGAATTTTGACGTTTATATGTAGTATTTAAAGGATTATGTGATGCATTAGATTAATGAACTAACCCAAATTTTGCCGTGCGCCGGTATTACGTTACTAAGGTAACGGTATGGCGAATCTTTTTCAGGACACGTCGGTTACATGGCTTTTTCTTTTGATTTCTTATTTTAGACAGATTTCCCTTTCAAGTGATATATAATTCATGCCTTTTTATCAATAACTCTCAAGACAATAACTGTAGTGCACGAATTTTTTGGACAACCCTCGTATTAGGTAAAACATGGACATTCATCATTGGCTTGTGAAATTCTTGTATATTTCAGTCTATTTCACAGCTTTCTCTGTTTTAAGCTAGAGGTATTGAAGAATAAGGTGAGCTACTCACCAAGGCATCACCGACACACTTTGGTTCAGTTTTTGCTAACAAGTTTGGTATCTCCAAAACTAATGACGGGAATAGCTTGAAACTTTACACACTTATTTGAAAGCATAATAAGTAGGAGGTCACTTTCCAAGGCCAATTCTACTTATACAGGCTCTTGTTTTACATTCAAATACTGAGAAAAATTGATCATGCTTTCCTACCAACAGCTTTTGTTTAAAGATTTAATATGCTACATTTTGACATTGTTTATTGAAATTGAAAACCACATCAAAGTGTAGAAAATATACATGTAATAAAATGTACTTGCATCTCATCACTCTAGGTTCAAACCATACCAGCTTCTTCAGATTTATCATGTAAGAAAGCTTACAGAATGTCAGTGGTTCTACTCGAGTGCCTGTTTGTGCCTTGCATAATTCACAAAGGGGCACCTGAGGTATTCTTACACAAGTTACTTTAGTAAGCTGGAAAGTCGCCACTTGACCTATACTGTGCTAGTGCAACATAAAACCCATTCAAAAAAGAAGGAAAGAAATCTATCTAACAATTGAAAGCAAGCAAATATATTTTTAAACTTTTATTGCTTTAAGGTTTCAATTTAGAATATAATATTTCTATGAACATGACAAAGATTAGGTAAATGTGACAAAAGTAAAATCATCATCATCATCAATTTACTTCAATTTTCAGAGTTTTTGTGCTGCATTACAACAAGAGTTGACAGAATATTACAGACTCATAGCTGTATTAGAATCTCAGGTATGGTGATAATAGTTGTTATCTGAAACTCGGCAAATGTGGGTTTTTTCCAAGCTAATCCCCTGATAAAGAGAAATTTAAATTGTTATAACTTCATGGTACACTATCGTATACAATAGATTAGTCAACCTGTTGTGCATACTTTCGAAGTTTCAACTGTAATAGTTTGTTTGTACCCAAGTATGAACTGGGAAAATCCAAACTAATTTCAATTCCTGAGTAAGTCTGTGTGTTTTTGCGTTACGAACTTTTCAACATACAGCTTACTATTTCCGAATCATACAGCCTGATTTAATATATACTTTTAAAGCGCATTGTGATATATGTAAAATTAAGACGGTCAATTTTAATAAACAAAATATTTTGTTTGATAGATATCTATGATATATAATTATAATGTTTTACATTTGGTAAACCATGTATATGCAATTTAAGTATGGTATTTTGCTATATTAGTTACAAGAGGAGCTAGATCAGGGTATTGGAATGAGTAATGCTGGAGTGACATTAAGAAGACTTGTTGTGTGGACCTTTGATCCTTTAATACGACTGAAAAGTCTTGCTGCCATGGTAGATGTCTGTAAAGGTACTGGAAAATTGTTATTTATTGACTATCAAGTTATGTTTTGTGCCTCGTACATAGATATGGCTGACTCTAAATTAAGGGAACCATTAATCCATAGATGCTGACATTCTTTTAAGTTAAGAAGCTAGTTAGGAAAATTTACAGAATGTCAGTGAAGCTATCATAATACTTTTAATAAGGAAGAGGCCATCAGGGGTCAACCTATAAAAAATTAAAGCAGAAACTTCTCAATATGATCTGAACATGATTTGTCTGACTTAAAAATCCAAATGTAAAAAAACAGAATTGTTTGATAGAGCAAAATTGATAAATTCTTTTGTTTTATGAATAAGCTTGGCGGACATGTCCTGATGAGAGAGAATATCAAAATGTTAGCAATAGTGACCAATTACAATGTAATAATAAGACCTAGATTGTAATGTGACTTCCTTGTATACTAATGTTATCAGTTGGTCTTGTATTTGTAAGCCATTTTGCTAAATCTTAAACAACAGCTTGAAGTATTTTAGTCATCACAGCCATATGAATGCATTAGTCTCACTAACATAATGTTCTATGTTTCAGGGAAGAAGGGAGGCGCACTAGCATCAGCAATATATTCCTACATGCAGCATGGAGACCCCTTTGTTAAATCACTTATCAAGCATATACTCACCATGGTAGGATTTTTTATTGTTTATTTTAAAAAAAACAACAACAAAATGAGAGAAATAAAAGAAACTGATCAATTAAATGACCAAAGTAGAAAATTTAAGGCATAGATACAATGAATTAGTTTGGCATTATGGTCAAATCATTTCAAGTCCTGATTTAGTCTATTTGTCTACTTCAATTGATGTGTATATATATTTTAATCAGTTCTCTTGTGTATTTTATTCATTCAAGAGCTCCTGCACTTTTAGATTGTTATCTGAGATTTACATGAATATTGTGTTTATTCTTCTCAGGTGTCACAACCTATTTATGCTACACTGTTACGATGGATACATGATGGGGAGTTGGAGGACACTCATGATGAGGTACGAGTTATTATTCTTTGATTGACTGTTTTTTTTTGATAATTTCTTGTTGGGGCTTCAGTGAGTGAATGGTTTAGAATCACCCTTCAGCTGAATTACTACTGATGGTGCATATCCTGCCAGAGAAATTTTAATGTGAGAAAGCTATCAAGCTAGCAAGCATGTAAGGGATAATTGGTTCTACTCAAGTGTGCTATAGAAACCTACACAGTGTTGTTAATTAGAAAATATGAATCAAATACCTGTTCTCTTGTATAAAATGAAAGAAACCGCATTCTAACACTATCTGAAATGTTTCTATATCAACAAAGAAGGCCAGAAGCGTGCATTATTCTACAACAATGCACTCACCGTTCTTATTATCTCCCTGTATATTTTCACATTGAGGGTGCCATTTTGTTTGAAAAATCTGATAAATAAAAACAATTTTTTGTCGAATTTTGTTGTGAAAACTATCTAGAATGAAAGAAAACGGTCTAACTAAGAAAATGATCCAAACACCAATGTCTTTTATTCAGTCGTTAACGCTGTACAGACGTTTAAAGTATTGTTTACTTGACGTCACAATGTAGCGCCAAACAGCACGTGCAAAACAATCAAATCAAGTACACTATTTAAATGTCGCAAACGAGTTAAGTTTTACATTTATTTCACTTTTAATAATTTTTATTTCACTTGAAAAATTATAGAATGAAATAAAATAAACAAAGTTTTATCAACGTTTTCAAAATGTGTTATTCTCAAAATGTTTCTACACACGGGAGATTTAACGACAGTTTTTTTTCATACCACTGTAACAGCCTTTAAAGAACGTTTCTATTGGAAACTCTGAGGCGAAAACAAATTTAACCACCAAACATAAAGTCCAACATTATAATAATAATTATATTTTTTCTTGACGTGTTAGAATGGAAAAAGATATTAATTCTTTGTGGATTATTGTATAATAATGCACGTTTTTCGTTCAAATGCTTTGTAATTAATCACTCAGGCCTATCGGCCTTCGTGATTATATTACTACGCATTTGAACTCAAACCGTGCATTATTCTACAACAATGCACTCAGAATTGATATCTATTTCCTTAAACATCTTGTTTATAAAATACCAAATTTGTAATACAACAAGACATTTTAATGCTATCTGTATTGAAAGTTAGATGACATTTGAGTAGTTATCATTTCAACTGTACATAATGATCCGGTGCACCTAGAAAAAAGCCAAGTCAGTTTTCATATAGACATATGTAAGCAGTAAGTGAAAGCTAATATATGTACGTATGTTTCAGTTTTTTGTTGCGGCGGATCCTACAGTGAAGAATGACAAGTTATGGCATGATAAATACAGCTTGAGAAAATCTATGATACCTACATTTATTACAACAGATCAAGCTAGAAGGGTTAGTTATAATCTACGATTTTATTCTTTTTCGTTAATTTGGATAAATATTTTCAAAAACTTTGAACAATGTTACTCTTATGGAAATACATGTATTTCAGATGTATCCACTAACATTTGAGCCACACCATGACAAAACCAACATGGTGCGTTTGCGACCAGCATGGATCCAGACCAGCCTGCGCATTCGCATTGTCTGATCAGGATTCATGCTGTTCGCTTACCTACCCTATTACAAGTAGAGAAACTGATAGCGAACAGCATGGATCCTGATCAGACTGCGCGGATGCAGTCTGGATTCATGCTGGCCGCAAACGCATTAAGTTGGTTTTGTCATGACGCAGTTCATTTGTAAGCTTGTGTGATTTGACTGGCAAAATTTTTCCTCTAGGTTTTAACCTTTTATTTATTGCCGAATTTCTATAATCTTCAATAATCTATAAAGTGTTTGGAAGTAAATTAAGAGTGATGAATTGAAATGTTCTTATATGTTTTTCTTTTAGTTCTTATCCTATTAATGTTATGTCCTGAAGAAAGCTAAATTACTTAACATGAAGTGTTATCCCATACTAATGCCAATTTTGCATCTCCATAAAAATGGTTTAGCACGGCCGTGCATATTTTTTCATGTGATGTAATTAACATTATACAAACATAATGTAAAGATGTGTTAAATAAAAGCTTTACACTATAAGCATGTCAATGAAAAATGATTGCTTTAAACAGACTTTATTTTGGGTATGTAATAAATAGAATATAATATTTGTGTAGGTTCATTACTGGCTGGCATAATATAATTGTATTCAACTGGTTCAATAAATCTTGTATTGAACCTACACTCATTCAATATCCTCTGTGTATTTACAATTTCAGATATTACTGACAGGAAAGTCTATAAATTATCTCCGACAAGTGTGTCAAGACAGATCACCAACTAAAAGTCCCGAGTCAGGCGCTTTAATACTAGATATGAGTCAAGGTAGGCTTGTATTACAAATAAATGGAGGTGAAGGTTCATTGACAACCATTATTAACTGCTCAAAGTGATTGACCATTTGGAAGGCAGAGAAATGTTAAATAATACAGCAATAGTGAGGTTTAAGAGATTTGTCTGAAAATTTTATTTCACTTTGAAGCCAGAAAATTATTTATTGTGTTCAGATATTTGAAATTGGCAAAATATATGAATTTCAATAATATTTGTTTGTACATATTATATGGTTATTTGATACAAACAGACCATATACATTGCTGACGCACACAATGTTTATTCATCCAAACGCAAATTTATAATTGACATCATTTATGTTGCAGCTGAATGGATGTTCACCCAAGATCTGAGTAATAATTTCCTAGATATGATACATACAGTGTACAAGGAGACAAGTAAACATCTGCTTGATGTACTCCATGCTAAATACAAGTTCATGGACCATCTTAAGGTTTGTTTATCATATGTGCAGAGCTTGATTTTAATTTGTATAAAAATAATTCAGCATAATGGCTGTCCTTGGTCTGAAATTATAACCAATGTTCCTAAACTCAAACTCAGGTCCTGGGAAGTCAATTGATCAGAAACAGGCACAAAATGTGCATTGACTAATGAAAATCCTGAAATACAAGACAGATCTCTTACAAAAAAGTTTATAACCTCAAGGCCTTATTCAATTTTAGTAGTAGAGGGAATGTTTTGTATTAGATAAATTTATTTCTACACAATGATTTACTTCAGGTTTATATCTAAAAAGAAATCATGCCTGATTTGTTAGAAATACATAGATATTTTGTCAAAATAACGCAAATCAATAATTTTGAAATTCATGTGCTTTCTTTGCACATTTTCAGGCCATGAGAAGATACCTGCTTCTTGGACAAGGTGACTTCATACGCCATTTAATGGACCTTCTGGAGTAAGTATGATTTTTGGGGTTTCCTGGCCTGGCAGTTTAATTTGCTTTGAATTATTCTACCCTTACCTCTGTACAATCAAATCTCTCACTGCAATGTTTTATGAAAGGAAACTGGTCAACTGAATAACAGACAGCCATTGTTTTTACTTAGATGGTCAATACCGAAATGATAGAATCTTTAGTTTATATAAAGTATCAAATACATTAGTGGCGTGGCCGAGTGGTTAACGTGCCGGACTAGTAATCTAAGGATTGCTGACTTCATGGGTTAAAACCCCGTAGGCCAAGCCCTTGTTTTCATGAGCAAAAAACTTTACACTCATTGCTTAGTACTGGTTGGAATGGATTTGAGAGTGTTTCAATAAGCTTATAGCTTCGAACACAATCAAACTAAAATAAGTTGGTATAAACTAATAAACTAAATATATTAGAGATATATATTTCACAGAGGAAGTTTTATTGTTTTTGTACCCTAAATATATTTCTGGAAAAAAAGCACAGCTACAATACATTTAGACGACTTGGCAGACTTATTTTGATTTTAACATGATGAAACATGGAGATGTTGTTTCAAGGGTGATCTATTTAAGCCAGCAGCAGACAAAATTAATGACTTCTTCAGAATTTACTGATGGCTACTTACGCTAAACCATTCTAAATTTAGTGCTTTAGAAATATTGAAGAGTGATTAATGTTTGGAAATCTCAAATCTTGCCACATTACAATTGATTTAGAGCTGTGTTTGTTATTTCAGAGAAGATCTAGCTAAACCTGCCTCAAATCTTTACCTGCACAATCTAACTGGTATACTAGAAACTGCTATACGAGGAACTAATGCTCAATTTGATGACTCCGATATACTGAAACGATTAGATGTACGATTACTTGAGGTGAGAATTTTCTGTATTCAAAGTTTTATAAAGTAGAAATGACATTCTAAGTATATTTATAGAGTTAATGTTTTACTATATCTCTATATGTTGCATCTTTTCAGAATAAATGGTGTTTTATAAAGGGTCATTATTTGTGTTTTTTGTGGGAATGGAATATATTGCATTAAGAATTGTTACATGATGATAAATCTCTTTTAATTTGACATTGAAAAATAAAAAAAAAAATATGAAAAAAATGTAGTAGAAAAAAAATTAAAGTTACATCAGGACTGAAATATATCTTGTGATTGAAAAAGTTTCAGAGCTTTTCTATAAATAATCATATTATATCAGTAACAACAATGTTATTACAATCATTACAGGTGTCACCAGGTGATACTGGTTGGGACGTGTTCAGTCTGGACTACCATGTGGACGGACCCATCAGAACTGTAAGGATTTTCTAATAGTACTTAATTTATGATGAAAATTATCAAAGTTTATTTTAGTTATCTGAAACAATAGTAAAATCATTCTTTACCTAGATTCTATTGATGTTTGCAGTTACAAGAAAAAAAGAAAAAAACTTTTTATGGTCATTAATGTGCCATGGATTAAAAACATCAAATTCATGTCAGATAAAGTATTTTGCTGAAAGGGACATACATATTCGAGTTTTGAGAGCATATAGAAAAAATGGTTTTGTAAATTTGAAATTTCATTCACGAGACACAAGGCAAGCAAGAACAAAACATTTATAACTCATGCTATCCAGCTAACTTAACGTTGGTGGGTCTGCTCAGGTGCCCATTCATGCCTGCACGGAAGATCAAAAGAGGAAGTCGCCATATGACTTCTACTGTGTGGGTGGACTTAAAATCCAACAACAAACAAAAACAACAACATTTACAACTATTTTCAGGTGTTTACTCCAGACTGTATGATCATGTATTTGAGAGTTTTTAATTTTCTGTGGAGAGCAAAACGTATGGAGTATGTTCTGTCATTGATATGGAAAAATCAAATATTCAACGCCAAATTGTTACAAGTTATTCCAGGTATGTCTAATTGTGATTGTTGTAAGTGATAAACATTTTAGTTCTGAAATAAACTTTTATAGTTATATATTGTATGTAAAAGTTTCCATTTGAAGAAACATAGTTTTTAATAAGAGATTTTCATAAATACGTGATATAGCTAAGAATAAGTTCTTAAATTGCCTTCAAACCTTTTTCAGATTTTTAACATTTATGTTAAGATCATAGCCTTTGAACAGACCTTGATACAACCTTTAATCCTCATGTTTGGGTTTTGTGTATTTTTGCAATTTTTTAATCTCCTGTTGTATACCAGATTGTTGTCTGATTAATTTACAGAGTTGTCAGAAATATTACATCAGTGTCACATGTTAGGCAGTGAGATGGTCCATTTTATACAGCAGACTCAATATTACATCAGCTTTGAGGTATATTCTATAAATAGTAATACTATTACGTTAGCTTTGAAGTAAAATCTGTACTGATTAATGGTAGGAGTGCATTAACTTCTAGGTCGTAATTATAAATAGTAATGTTATTGTATCCGCTTTGAGTTATTATTAAGTCACTTGTCCACCACAACTATAGGTTTTACTCTCACCAGACACAATTTGGGAAATCTAACCACCTTAAACTAACTAGCTTGCTTTTGTGGCTTAGGGGTTGTCTTTAAGGGTTGAGGCATGCCACCATTTATCCCTGAGTGGTCATAAGAGAAGACGAAATGGGCTTGAATTTCTGAAATCTATGCATTTATATAAAGCTCCAGCAGGTGAGTTGGTTTGGACCCCTATTACTGCTTTAAGTTGGTTAGCCAAAATTATCTTTCTGTTTCGGTGCAATATGACTTAAGTTGTGCGCTGGAAAACCCCAAAAAATACCAAAGGCTAAGTTCCACTAAGATGCTGTTTGAAATGTTGATCCTAGTTGGGCACCTTGTGGCTTCCTTCATCAGTAAAGCTGAAAATTTGTCAAATGACCAGACAGTCATTTTGAGCTACTCTTTTTTGACATATTTTGTTAATGTACCCTATTTCTGTTACTTGAACTGCCTATAGATAAAATAAAATGAAAACATACTTTCAATAACAGGTTCTGGAATGTTCCTGGCACGAGTTACTCAGTAAAGTGCGTGAAGCAGAAGATTTAGACTGTGTCATTGCAGCACATGAGACTTTCCTGGATACAATCATTACAAGATGTCTCCTAGATGAACAGTCAAGGGTATGAACAGGTTTTAATGTGTTAACCAGTCAACAACTAAGTTTATAAAAAGTAGAAATTTCAAACCAGTCTGGAAATTTAATGCAATCATTGGTCCAAATTGCTTTATTGCTAATATTCGACCAATCAGATTCATGAATTTAAAACAGGTCTACCATATTAAAAATAATTGTTAGTTGCAAGATCATGCCATAAATTAAGTAATATGAAGTAATTGGGATGAAATCATAGCTTCATTGTTCCTCCAAGGAGGAAAGCAATGAAAACTATTAAGATTTTATCCTTTTATCCATTTATTCAAATCTTCTGAAACTAATCAGAAAAATTACTTGGGTCATTTGGATATTTAAAATGAATGGAATGGTGTCTTTTGTTAACTAATGGTAATTATAGTATCTATATTAGGTACAGATTTATAAGATTTGTGTTTTACCTACTGTATATTAATGTATATATGTATGTATATTCTACCTGCATTTCTATTCCTTTGTTTTGTGTACTATGGGTATGATACCGTGTTATTTGAATATTATATACATATCATGTGTTTAATAATCTCACCGTGACATGGATGTGTGTTATCGGCTTGGCAAATGATTTTATTTCTCACCAAATTATTTTAGAGAAGATTTGTCCTATTATTCTTTTTTTTTTTCTTTTCTATCTTTGTCTTTGACAAAATATTTTGGCATTTTTTGATAGTCCTGCTATTCATATAATTAAATTGATGATTCTTGACAGTGTTGGTTTGCTTACTAAACAAATTAGATTTAAAAGAAACATGAAAAATATTTGCGCACAAGTTGTTGATACAGACCAACATCAAATAGTTTAAAAATATTTACAGAAAATTTCTGTCCTGTTTTGTAAAAATATTCCTGTTTTGTGTTGTTAAAAAAGTCCTGTCCTGTCATGTCATAAAAATCCTCAGTGGAGTCGCTGGTATATTATAGCTTATCAGTGGAAGGGGAGATCACTGTGTTTCATTAATATATTGTAGAGGAAGGAAGGTCACTCAAATAAATGTCTGAAGGATATTCACATTTTCTTCAAATTCACTCAAGTTCCCATAATGAAAAATGCTTATATTCACTCAAGTTCCCATAATGAAAAATGCTTATGGCAGGAGTGTGCTTAACAATTTACTGGTAATAAAGCATAATTGAATTTATCTTTAAGAAAAAATGAATTTGTTTATATGTATAATGAAGATAAAACTTGTTGTAGGGAATGGGCCCTGTAAGTCTATTTGAAAAATTTACACATTTTATCACTTGTTTTATTTGTTTATGTGTTCCTCCACAGTTATACTTATAAAAGGAAATATGATACCTCACTAAGATTTGGTTGAAATATATCTTTTTAACTTGTTAAAATTTAATTGTGTGCACAAAATTGATTTTACAGTTTTCAGTGTAATTTGTGGGCCAAAGCTTGTTTGATATTGATTCTGGCTTGTAGAATTTTTATGTCCTAGCCAGATTTGTTTTCATCATTAGAATATGTTGGTTTAATATCCAATCATGAAGATTCTACAAACAATAGTAAAAATCAGCTTAATCAGTTGAATATTTTCAAAAAACAAAATATACAATCACTACTTTTGCTGTTTTAATAATGAATATATTAATAATGAATATATTTGGCAGATATAAAACTTTTTTATACAAGGCACAAGGAAGGGGGCAGAGGGATTATGCAAATAATTTCATATTGAATATTTCATATTCCAAGATTTCTTATCTAACATCAGATTGCAGTGATTTTACACATTTTTTGCTATTTTTTATTAACTTGTAAATAATTTTGATAAAGCACAGTACTTACTGTATTAACATTGGTTTGTTTATTTAATATTTAATCATAGATTGTTCATTTGACATTGTTGACTAACTTTAAAATAATTTCAAACACGCACCATAGTTACTGAATTAGTACAGCTTGGTTTATTCAATATTTAATCATAGATGATTTAATAACATAGTATAACTTTTGTAACTTAGTTGATTTCATTTTTGTTATAGAATAGTCTTTTAACTATATCAATAGTATAGTACATGTATATTGATATCTAGAGATCATTACCTTTGTTGAGCGAAAAAACAACGAATTCTTGATAAAATGGTAGGGAAAATTCTTTTGAAAGTATGGCATCAATATTCTTGCTGAGGTATTTTAAATGTTTTCACTTCTTAAGCTTCTAATATATTAACCAGTTTTTGCTACACTGCACCCATATTATTGTTTGATTTTTGAACAGATATTTTCTGACTGTAGTTATTTACACAATTTTACATCTGATCTCTAGGTATCAATACTCTTATGGAAGATGGGGAAGAACTTTTAATTTACATATTGTCACTTAATTCTGACTGTTTTCCTTATTGACTTGCATTGTTGTCTGTGACACCAGTTTATGAATCAGTCTGTACATCATGTCAATCTGATTAGGCTGTTCTGAAAACCTTTATCAATTCTATTTTTTAAAGGGAAATTTTGACACATTTTGCGAACAATTTTTTACCTAATTTTTGGGAACTTCCAAAAAAAGTCAGGCTCTTTTTCCCCCAAAATGGAAACAAAAAAAAAAATTTGGCCAGAAAAACATTTCAAAAAGATGCCAAAAACAACGAACAAGTAAAGGAAATTTTAAAAGAAAATTCTTTTTAGAAAAAATTTATACTGAAGAAAGTGGTGCTTCAGCTATTAGGAACCCAAACTTAAACCACTTTCTGTGAATTTACTTAATTTAGTGGGCATAAAATTTTGTGGTTTTGTCACAAAGAACATTTTCATGGATTCTTAAATTCATGGACTATTTATCATGTAAATAATGTGATACAAAATAATCTTACAGCGGACGAAATGAAATAAGTTGGATCTTAAATTCAGGGATTGACCTATCCTTTAAAACCACGAAAATAAGTGCCCCACAAATAATACTGATTTTGCAGTAACAGTTTCGGAGCTTTAAGAGTTTAATTTTTGAAAGACAAAAGTTATTTAATGAGCTGGAGGTCAGTGGTTCTGCTTGATTATGACCTTTACAAAGTTTATATTGTTGATATGACCTGAAACATAACTCAAGAAAATTACTGGTTAAGTGCAACTTAACCACAATAAATTAACTTGTTACAGTGATACATTTTGATTGTCATTTAAATTATCACTTATTGGACTTCTGTGAAATTTATTTGGTAATAAATTTCTTGTACTTGTAATTTAGGGGGATTGGGGATTGACAGAAGAAATGGAAGAAGAAGAAAGAAAGAGAAGAGTTGAATTTCCAAAAAATCTGGAAAACCCCCAACCACAAAGCAAAAAGTTCCCCTGTCTTGCCCCAATCAAAACCGGGAAAAATCCCAAATTTTAAAAATTGTAAATTAGATTTTTTTCTATTTTTTAAACTTAATTATATTTAAAAAGAAAAAGGAAAAAAAATTTTTGAATTAGCAGTTCTTTTTATTTTTAAAATTTCTATTTTTGGGGAGGTTAGCCCAATGCAGGTCCATTTGCAAGTAAAAATTTTCCAAAAAAGGGCAAGGCAAGCTAGGGTTTCTTTCACACTGCTTTTTCTTTTTAAGGGAGATCTATCTACCTAAAAAAGTTTCTTTTTGAAAACTTTTTTAAATGGTTTAGAGTTAGGGTCCGGGACAAAGTTCAAAGTGTAAAAATGAACAAAGGGCAATAACTCCAAAATTAGGCAATCCAGAGTTATAGTTCTTTTGCACTGCTCTCTTACCCAATTTGATCTATCTACCTACAAAGTTTCCATATTAAATTTCCTATCCTCAAAACGTCAATGAGCTTAAGTTCTGCACATGTATGTACTGATTTTGTTTCAAATTTGTCATATTTTTTTCCAAAAATTATACATGTCTTGAAAGCCAGGAACCATTTTATGTTACAGGATATGGTACAACAATTCTTGCTGATGGTAACCAGCCACCAGGATGTTAGTTTACGGTTCCTAAGTTTCCGTCTAGACTTTAATGAACATTATAAAGGCCGGGAACCAAAGCTGCACAGTCCATTGACTTACAGACCAGGGAAGAAAGTGACTTAGCTCTTTGAACAAATTTCTGTTCTATTTGAGACATGTATATTTTGTTAATCAAATGACTGCTGATGGTTTAAATGTTTAAATCTGCAGCCAGGGAATTAGTATGGTAGCTAAGTGTGATTCAAATGATCATAGATGTGAAATGAGAAACACCGTTTTTGTGTCGCCTCTACGGAGTAGTGGCGACATATAGGGATCACTTCTCCGTCGTCTGTCTGTCCGTCTGTCTGTCTGTCTGTCCGTCCGTCTGTCCGTCCGTCCGTCCGTCACAAAACTTGTCCGGACTACTCCTCATAAACTACTGGTGCAATTTCATCCAAACTTTACAGGAATGATCAGTACCAAGTCTAGTTGTGCATATTGTCAGGATTTTCCGGTTCAATGATTTTTGTCAGAGTTATGGTCCTTTAATAATTTTTAATTTTAAAGTTTGTCCGGACTACTTCTCTTATACCACTAATGCAATTTCAATGAAACTTTACAGGATTGATCTGTAGCTCAAGTCCTTGTGCATATTGCACGGGTTTTCCGGTTGAATGATTTTTGGCCGAGTTATGGCCCTTTGATAAAAAGGTTTCTTTTTCTGTGTGTTGCCAGATACACAAAAGCTTGTCCGGACTACTCCTCATAAACTACTGGTGCAATTTCATCCAAACTTTACAGGAATGATCAGTACCAAGTCTAGTTGTGCATATTGTCAGCATTTTCCGGTTCAATGATTTTTGTTTGAGTTATGGCCCTTTAAAAAATTTTATTTTTAAAGTTTGTCCAGACTACTTCTCTTATACCACTTATGCAATTTCAATGAAACTTTACAGGATTGATCTGTAGCTCAAGTCCTTGCGCATATTGCACGGGTTTTCCGGTTGAATGATTTTTGGCCAAGTTATGGCCCTTTGATAAAAAGGTGTTTTTTTCTGTGTGTTGCCAGATACGCAAAAGCTTGTCCGGACTACTCCTCATAAACTACTGGTGCAATTTTATCCAAATTTTACAGGAATGATCAGTACAAAGTGGTTAGTCTAGTTGTGCACTGTCCGTCTGTCTGTCTGTCTGTCTGTCACAAAATTTGTCCCAACATGAAATTGGCCATCATGAGGCGACACATGTGATTACTGATCGCTCTTGTATTGTGTTGAAAGTTAAAAAGTGTCAAAGTTGGAAATATTGTGAGTCTTTTCAGCAGACATATATTTCAACAATCGGAATAGAATGTAACTAAATGGTTTTGTCATTAATTGTATCAAAGAGATCATCTCTGGCAGTGAGCTTTATATGTCAAACAAAAGTATATCAGTTAGTTTAGCCATATGTACATATTTATTAAGAGTTTAGTTTAAGTAAAAAATAAAATGACAGAAAATTGCAAGATTCTCACTATCACTTGATATTTTTAAGCCTAAAATCACCTTTTGATCTGTAATTTCAAAGTGATGTCACAAATTAACTTTACTTACTGCTTGTGATTGTGAAGTTATAAATTGAACATATGTGATGTAAAGAAATGCTTAATGGTTATATTACATGGAAGAACAAGTGATGTCATGAATAGAAATTACATTTTAAGCGTTATTTATTCAGATGTGTACAAGATTTATTGTGTTGTAATAGGTGAACAAATGTGGCATGGTCAAAGAAGAAAATGTGATTCTCATTTTGATCATAACACTAAATGTTTTGGATAACATTCAAAACCATGATGGAAAAAAGTGCTTTTTACTTATGTGATTTATTATAGTTATTTTATGTCTCAAATTTTCCTGTCATATTGAAGCATGGGACCAATGAAATTAACAACATTCCAGTTTTATTGAACTGGATATAATATTTGTATTATGTATGACATTTGTTTTAGAGCTATATGCTTGTCAAGATTGTATAATAACTTATTTTTGTTAGGTAGTGAATGCTGTTGTATCGGCAATTATAAATGATAGATATTTTAAAACTGTTTAAATTATCATACATAGAAATGCCACTAATGATCAAAGCCCCGTAACATTTCCATTTCTGTTGTGTATATTTTTTTCAAAAATTATGTGTTTACATTTATAGATTAGCAATTGATTGATTTAATGTCATTTTGATTTATAAATCTATCTAGTAAAATATTGATATATTGACTACTGTTACAGTTCGCTCTTGCCATGTTAACATTATTATGATTGGTTAATGATAATAGAAATAATCCAGTTCTATTGGCTGTACTGGCATGCGAGCAGTTTCCGTACAGAAGCAGTACCCGTATTTTTCATTTAAACGCTTGATTTTTACTTGCATTCTTCAAAAATTCATTTCAAATCAAGCAGATACATAAACGAGACAAAATCTAAGTGTCATTTCGGCAGTACGTATAAAAAGTCTCATTTTAAATCACTTTCACCTGTGCGTCGTCAAAACGTGACCTTGTTTTCTCTGGGGGATTCCGTCCTTGCGCGCATGCGCGAAAATACTTACACGTGAGGCTTGTTAAAGGGTTTACCACTAATACCACCTGTTTACAAATAGGTAGGCAATGTGATGAAAACTTGTTTAATTATCAGAATTTTGACCAATATTACTATATAAAATAATTTTATGGCTTTGATGCGTAAAATATCATGCATACAAGCATGCTATTGCATGAGAATGTGTTGGGGTAACGGTACCGGGTAATAGATACCCGCGTTTAGTCTACGCTCTATTTCCTGAATTACATCTATTTATCTCTTTAGATAATGGTCTGTTCAACAATTGTAAATGAAAAATAGGTCCGATATAATAAAATTGTATAATTATAATGGTTAGATTTTATGTACGGGAACTACTTCTCTTCATACAAAATAATGGATTAATTTCGGTACCCCATATAAGGCCTCATAAGTAAGGGTTATTCTATGTTTAGAACATGATGGAATTTCCATGATTTGTGTGACGAGCCGAATATTGATGTGTAACATTCAAAATTTTTGGTGAATGAGCGTAATAAAAAATAATGTTTAAGTAACTATGATTTTTGTACGGGAACTGCTCGCATGCCAGTAATGACTTGCCTGTGTCACCAGTATAGTCTATAGATCTATTACAAGCCTGCCATACAGTCTGACCAGGCTCTGTATTGTCTGCTGCTGAATTATGTTGATACTGATACCCCTAAAACACACAATGGACAGGTCTAATCTCAAAGTCAGACTAGTCCATTATACTTATTTGCTGGGTTAGAGTTAAAAAATCTCACGTTTAATAATTGTATTTCAAATAAATGTATATTGAAATCTCGAGTCTTCAAAAACTCCCACTTTGTCATTAATTGTTTATTTATTTGTACAGAACAACTTTCCTTGTTTTGCGATAAACTTTTGTTTTGTCTTGTTAAATTTAAATGTTACATCCCCTTTATGTTGTTGGTCAGAAGCATTTTCAAGGTTTGTATAATAATAAGTTTCAATAATTTTAGACACTGTCATTCAGGTTAAAGGGTCAATATTGATGTGTTTATTACGGATTACACAACGTAACTACTTTTATTATATACCTGTCCATATTTTTCTACATTTAATACATGTAACACATGCACTAGTACAACCTAACAGAAAAAAAAGCTACATTACACTAAAGTGCAATCTGCAATGCCACTGCTGGCATTATACCATTAATATTAATGGCTGAATATTTAGTTGAATTGGACAAGGTATATTATAAAATTATAGGAGTTTCTTGATCAGTTACATTGTACTTGTATATGGTCTTGTGGATTTTACTAGTAATGGATTACTTTAGCATTATGGGAGGCTGTCCTAATAAAATCTGCCCGACAAAAACAAATGAAGATACATCTGTAAAAACCCTGCTACATCAAATTAAACTTTAAAGCTGCAGACTTGTATTTGTAGAATAAGTAGAAAACATTCATTTACTGTTTAGGACTTGTTATTCACTGTTAAGTATTTATTAATTTTGAAATTTTGTATCTGTTTAGTATTTTGTTAATTCTATTTCCAAGAGCACTGGTGTATCAAACAAATTACTACAATAAGTCAGACGGGAAAAAGTTTTTCTCAACAATTGAAAAATGCATTGAAGAAACTTTTTATTATGATAATTTTCACATAATTTGTTCTATTATCTTGTAACATGAGTTTAAAATGTCTACATTTAAATTATTTTTCAGACTTCATTATACAAGGCATAGAAGTCTCAGTGGTGGTCACTCTTATAGAATGATTATACATGTATTTTTTTTTTTTTTTTAAATGTTTATCTTCCTAGATCTGATATAACACATGTATAAAATCTAACTCGTTATCACCTAACTTGTTATCCCACCGTCCTGCCAGCATTGAATAAATTTTATTTAAGAGTGATATGTCTTGTTGTTATCTTTCTCTCATGTTTAGGTGACTCACAAGTCCTGAGAAATACAAATACATTGGTATGAAATAGGCAAGAAAAAAAAAACACTGGACTTTTGTCTCAATAGAACTGTCTAGTTACTCTCAGTTAAAGTAACCCTCAAGCCAGATACTCTGCTCTATGTAATAGAAAGAGCATTGAAACACGAGACTATCTGATTTGTACAAGGGGGCATAGCCCCTGAGTATTTAATCATATCGCCGATGTTTTGATGTTCTTTCTCTTTTGTATCATAGTCAAACAAAAAAACATGTTCCCTCTTGTCAAAATATGAAACCCCAGAAAAAAGTAACCAATGAACGAGCATCTGAATATCATATTTCTATCGCTTTCCCTTTCTCTGCTGTCACAATAAGTAAACCCCAGCAAAAATAAGCCAATCAATGGACATGCTCTGGAGTGCATAACTAATACCTGCACTCCAGTTAACGCACTGTGCATGTATATGTATACGATTTAACTCTGACACATTTTCAACAGAAAGGTCCCTTAACTATGAAACAAACTAGCAGATACTGTAAGAGTTTAATAGTTATTTTAACATCATGTCCACTGATTGTCCAGAAAAATTCACTGACTAAACAGATGAAAATTTAGGGGTGCAAGTAAAAAAATATGTGCACCAAAACAAGTTCAATTGAGGTTTTCTTAAAGCTCTGTTGTTTGAGATTTCTAAAATTAAACCACTTTCTTTTTTCTTAACTGTTCACAGCTCTGTTGGGAAATAACAGTAATGCAGGTTTGGTCACATTTATATCATTGTATATTTCACAGAACACTCTGCAGCTGATTGGTCTACTTGTGACTTAACATCGTATTTCAGGATTGTTCTTGTTTTTATTCAAGAAGAGATTTCACATTTGAACAATCTTTTGTGACACAGTCTGTTGGAGTGCGACCTCTGTTATCTTTATGGAAAACACTGTTTTTTGCTGCTTTCACTAAAATCTCTACTACAGGGGCAAAACCCTTTTCAGCAGCCTGGTAGAAAAAGAGGAAAATTCATTAAAAAACATAACAGAGACGGATCAAAAAGAATTCACTTTTCATTTGATTCCTTTTGCATGGAAATAATCAGAATTATTTGACATAAGTATTTGGTTAGGAAAAAAATGTTGAAGTGATGTGCTATTTATATACTGGTGAATAAGATTTCTACTGGTAGGCTGGATTTACTGCTTACAGCTTGATGACAAAATGTAGCAATAAACTCGCACATACTTTGTGTAAGGGAAGTTTTCCATCAGAATCTGCTATCAAGGGGTCAGCTCCATGCTTTAGAAGTAGTTCCACTATATCTGTATGTCCGCAATATGCAGCCCTATGGAGAGGTGTCACACCACCTGAACGTGTCTGAATATTTGGTGAGGCATTATTGTCAAGCAACAGTTTACATATTCTTGTGTGACCATTTCTACTTGCATAATGCTGCAAATATAAAAAGCAAATTCAGTATATTATCTCCCCTTCCTCTCAAAAATCACAGCTGAGATGTTCACTAGCAAGGGCTATAACTCTGATCAAATTAATTCTGGAATGTGTCAACAGCAAGGGCAATTATTAGTTTCAGCAGCAAGAGCAATAACTCTGTTCAAACAAAAAGTAATCCTGATGACCTCCAACTTCATCATGAATTGATTTATGATTTAAACATATTTTATTGCCAAAAAGTAGACATATACATACATGTAGACAGTTACAATACAATGACTTGACATATTTGGCAAAAGGGTTGACCCACAAGTTCTCTTAACAAACATTAGCAACGGGTCATCATGAATTTAAAAATATGAACATTACTTTTAAACATACTAACATGCCTGTAATTATCCGTGAAATTCCTATCATAAATTCAAGTCATTAAATACGCAATCAGGTCAACTCGTCCCGTGGTCAACTTGTCCCGTGGTCAACTCGTCACCTTTTTAGTCAACTCGTCCCCCTACTTTTGATCAACTCGTCCTCAATAAGAGCCAGATTCCTTTGTATCTCATAGCTGTCTCTGAAATGACTTGTCTAGAGTCATGTCTACGTCCCCGCTAGGGGTTTGACATTAATGGAAATAGATAGAAATGATAATCGTGTTATCATATGTGCAATATCCATGATTTTGATCGAAAACAAGTCAAAAATGACTAAAAACTACAATTGTTATGAAGATCTATACTGCAGAATTTGAGAAAATGTGTTAAAAACCTACTATCTTATGTCAAATGAAACATTTTAAATACCATAGAGCTTTTCTGAAAATGTGTTACTAAAGCATTAGATAAAGGCTATAAATCAAAAATTATCTGAAAGAAATTGCAATACTAGAGCTGTGTAGCCTGAAGCGTCACATTTGTCAACTGGGTCGTTTTTCTTCTCAAGAAATTTCACAACATCTTCATATGATCCGTCTAATGCGGCTGTCCATATACCCCTACTAAAATCAAGTTCTTCTAATGTTTGTTGAACAGACGGGTTAGTTGAACTGTGTGCACACTCGCATTTATGCTCTTTTTCACACATTTTTATCACCATTCGAGTTTGACAGCTGCATCGCGAATACTAATGAAACTGAAAGTAGACTCTTCAATCTTGAAGTCACATAACGTCCTATCCGGAAAAAGAGAGATTGGACTTCGATTTATTTTTCGAAATCGTGTTGATGACGGTGTAAAATGGCAATGCAGAAACATTTTTAACACTGTAAAGGGTACTGCTCTAGGTGTTGCTGAATATCTTACACCTGTCCTAAAGGTTTGTGCTCGGAAAATTGACATTTTTGATGCGTCATAAACTAAACTGATTTCGGATAGATCATAACATTGAAAAACACTAATTATAATAATACTTTCTTTATGTAAATGTCTATTTATACGGCAATGAATATTTTTTCAACTGTTTAAATATATGTTTAAGACTTCGTACAAGAAAATGGAGCATGAAACAATGTTTTAAAGCAATGTACTTCCTCTTTCATTATGATAGAAAAATCTATTTTATAAATGATCTGGAGTTATTTATAATTATTTTAATTGTTTACTGTTTATATTTCAGGAGTCAAAGTTCAAGGAAACTGGTGTTATAACTCCAGAAGAGGTAAACTTGCTCTTAAATTCACATTATTACTCATTTTAGGCATAAACGAGAATAAATTAATTTTTCTTTTTGTTACTCAAAATCTTTACATAGCCCATATTATCTGTTATATAGATCTATTAAGGTAAATAAATATTGTCCAAATCATTAATTTTAGAAAAAAAATGCAAACCCCCATTGCAAGTTCAGTGTAGGCTACTTTGTATCTGGAACTTGTGAATAGCTTCAATAAGGATGGTGATTAACAGATTAAAAAATAATTAAATAACTGTTTTAAAGATAAAAAGGTTTAGAGAATAAAATGCTAATAAGTTTATAATTTATTATACCCCCACAAACGAAGTTTAGGGGGGGTATATAGGAGTCAGCTTGTCGGTCGGTTGGTCGGTCGGTCCGTCGGTCAGTCCACATCATGGTTTCCGGACGATAACTAGAGTTTGGAATGAGGTATTGTAATCAAACTTGGTATATAGCAACCTTATATGGAAACTCCGGTTGGTATTGCATTTGGACCCCCTGGGGTCAAGGTCACCATTACTAAAAATAGAAAAATGGTTTCCGGATAATAACTAGAGTTAGGAATGAGATATTGTTATCAAACTTGGCGTATAGCAAGCTTATATGAAGACCTGGGTTGGTATTGCATTTGGGCCCTCTGGGGTCAAGGTCAAGGTCACTGTTACTAAAAATAGAAAAATGGTTTCCGGACAATAACTTGACTTAGGAATGACATACTGTAATCAAACTTGGTGTATAGCAAGCTTATATGAAGACCTGGGTTGGTATTGCATTTGGACCCCCTGGGGTCAAGGTCAAGGTCACCGTTAGGAAAAAGAGACAAATGGTTTCCGGACAATAACTAGAGTTAGGAATGAGAAATTGTAATCTAATTTGGTGTAAAGGAAGCTTATATGAAGACTGGGTTGGTATTGCATTTGGACCCCCTAGGGTCAAGGTCACTGTTACAGTGTTACTAAAAATAGAAAAATGGTTTCCAGACAATAACAAGAGTTAGGAATGAGATATTGTTATCAAACTTGGCGTATAGCAAGCCTATATGAAGACTTTGGTTGGTATTGCATTTGGGCCCCCTGGGGTCAAGGTCACCGTTACGAAAAATGGTTTTCGGACAATAACTAGAGTTAGGAATGAGATATTGTAATCTTATTTGGTGTATAGGAAGCTTATATGAAGACCTGGGTTGGTATTGCATTTGGACCCCCTAGGGTCAAGGTCACTGTTACAGTGTTACTAAAAATAGAAAAAATGGTTTCCTGACAATAACTAGAGTTAGGAATGAGATATTGTAATCAAACTTGGTGTATAGCAAGCTTATTTCGAGACCCCAGTTGCGATTACAATTAATTGAAATATTTCTTTGTACACAGTTGATAGTTTGTGTTCAAATTTTTCTTCAGACTACTTTTTTTTCAAAAAGTCAAAGTTGTTGGTGGGGGTATTAATCACCTTCAGTGATAGGTCTAGTTACCACTAACTTGTCCTAAATGCAGACAAGCAAGATAGTAATCTAATCATGTGACCCAAATATTACTGTCTTCTATAATGAAAGTCTGCTGTCTTTGATAATTTACTTGAACTTTGATAGTAACTAATATGCACTGTAAATTAAAGATAAAATGGTTATTTAATATGATCAGTCAAGTGAATTAATGAAAGTACATGTAAGTCTTTTTATCATTCAATTTGTTAAAAAAGGTATGTACTGTCAAGGCCCCTAACAGATATCAAAACTATCTAAATTTAAGCAATACATACTTTAGTAAAACTTCATCCTAACAAATAAAAAGTTTTGCCTGTTTGCCATTGTATATTATCTTTTTTTTTTCTTGGAAAAAAAGGGGGGGATAAGAGAACTACTGTTAAATTTTCATCATTACAATCATATTTATAACCTGAATAAGACATACTAATTTTAGTGTTGCTTATAGCATGATATAAATACACTCAGTACTATATAAATATGTTAATACTTTGCTATTTTGTATGACAGTTTGTGGCAGCAGGTGATCATTTAGTACATCATTGTCCAACATGGCACTGGTCAGCTGGGGAAGAATCTAAGAGAAAACCTTACTTACCAGCAGATAAACAATTTCTCATTACAAAAAATGGTAAGTCTTATATTCAGCCTGTTAATACAACATTATATTGTCTTTAAGAAAAACATGTAATTAATTTTTCAAAAACAATTAATAAAATTTGTACTTAATATGAGAGTTATGTTCTTCAAATTTGTGTCTTTTGGAAATAACTGTTAAAATAATTGTTACAATTTAAATAAGAAAAAATTGTTTTACGACTACTAAAGTCAGGAGTGTAAATTGTATGGAGTGATAGTCATCTAAAATTTGATTTGGTAATGAAAAAGGTATTTTATGAAGTGGCTTGTGTATTATACCTTATAGTGAATACTTTGAATTGCTAAAGTTATATTACTTTCCTAATAATCAGTTTACATAATAAAAAAAGATACATGCCTGATGTTTAATCAAGCCAAATTTTCAAATTCAAGGGCAGATTACTCAAAAACAAGTTTGATTATCCACATTGTTTCACCCACTTGAAATGTTTCTGTTAACATGATTTAATATTGTGTGAGAAGCTTAAATAAATCCTTTTATACAATTTTCATACTGTATTCTGTAAATGTTACTATAGCATAGGTCTTAAATATGATTGTGTTTTTAAAAAAATATGTTATTTTCAATGTTATGAAAGACACTTTCAACTAATTCTCTACATGAAACATGATGATGACTTTCCTGTCCCCATGTCAGTCTCTGTAGCTATGAGGTTTGTCATTATGCTTTCAAATGCCTAATTTTTAGAATTTTGATGGCCCCAAAATCAACAATGATCAGACCAAAAATCAAAAAGGATTTAATACATATTAACTTGCTTTTTTAATTAAACAATATCAGTCCAAAAGTAAATGTGGAGTCAATACAAGACACCTATTTAATTGATTTTTTAATAAATTTTCATTATATGGAAGGTTTTAACTTCCACACAGCTTTTCCTGTTATTTACTAGCAATTAAGATTGTCAGTTAGTGTCACTGTCTACCCAACAAATATAGTTCAGAAGTTCAGGAACTCAAAAGTTGCAATGGTTAGGGCATTAACCTTAGTGGTTAAATATGTCAATAGTAATAAATTGGTTATCAGGATATAAAGGTCTAGGTCATGTGTATTTGTTATCAATCCATTCATATTTTAGGAAAACAAAAATAAACAATCTGATGAATTAGATTGGTCACAGTGCATGTAATCTCACATTTGACATATATGAATGCTAATGTTTTTATGAACATGGCCTATACCTTTAGGATTTTTTGAATTTTAGGAATGGTTTGCTTTAAATTGTGAAAAATATCAGAATCACCTAAATTGTCTATCAAGTTAGTCCCTGTAAAAAGCTTAAACAAGTTGCTTGTATCAGGTCTTTTACACTCATTCAATATCCTCTATTTAATTGACATTTTAGTTACAAAGGATAGTCAAATATTTTTTTTACTTTATTCTAGTGATAATATTGTAATGTTAAGTTTTATATGTGATTATTTCCAGTACCATGTTATAAACGAGTAAAGCAGGTAGATAACCACCAAGAAGAGCAGGAGAAAGTGATAGAGGAGAATGACCCTGATGGTGGATGGGTAGATACACATCATTATGCTGGTAAATCTTGCTTGAAATAAATACCTTATACAGATCAAGTTTTTATAATTATTACACACCCTTATTTTGTATTTTTCTTCTTTTAATTATATAAATTCTTTACAGCATTGTGATACAAATGACAAATAATATGTTATTAAGAAGAATGCTCACAACACTGACTTATACTTTATCACGCATGCAGTACCAGAAAGTTGTACTGTTATTGTTAATACCTTGATAAAAAGTGTTATCTAAAATATTGACTTTTATTTCTGAGCAGGTATGTTCACATTGACAGAAGATATTCTGTCAATTATTATCCCACGCCGATGGAATCGGGAGGGGGATATAGTTTTAGCGTTGTCCGTCCGTCCGTCCGAATTTCGTTTCCGGAGTAGTTCTCTGCAACTACTGGCTGGAATTCAACGAAACTTTATGGGAATCATCAATATCAAGAGGAGATGCGCATATCGTCGGCTTGTTCAGGTCAGCCACTTTAACTCAGAGTTATGGCCCTTGATTAGTTATGTAGTATGCATATAGAGTAAAAATCGTTACTGGAGTAGTTCTCTGCAACTACTGGCTGGAATTCAACGAAACTTTATGGGAATCATCAATACCAAGAGGAAATGCGCATATCGTTGGCTTGTTCCGGTCAGACACTTTAACTCAGAGTTATGGCCCTTGATTAGTAATGCAGTATGCATATGGAGTAAAAATCGTTTCTGCGCTACTTCTCTGCAACTACTGGCTGGAATTCAACGAAACTTTATGGGAATCATCAATATCAAGAGGAGATGCGCATATCGTCGGCTTGTTCAGGTCAGCCACTTTAACTCAGAGTTATGGCCCTTGATTAGTTATGTAGTATGCATATAGAGTAAAAATCGTTTCCGGAGTAGTTCTCTGCAACTACTGGCTGGAATTCAACGAAACTTTATGGGAATCATCAATATCAAGAGGAGATGCGCATATCGTCGGCTTGTTCAGGTCAGCCACTTTAACTCAGAGTTATGGCCCTTGATTAGTTATGTAGTATGCATATAGAGTAAAAATCGTTACTGGAGTAGTTCTCTGCAACTACTGGCTGGAATTCAACGAAACTTTATGGGAATCATCAATACCAAGAGGAAATGCGCATATCGTTGGCTTGTTCCGGTCAGACACTTTAACTCAGAGTTATGGCCCTTGATTAGTAATGCAGTATGCATATGGAGTAAAAATCGTTTCTGCGCTACTTCTCTGCAACTACTGGCTGGAATTCAACGAAACTTTATGGGAATCATCAATATCAAGAGGAGATGCGCATATCGTCGGCTTGTTCAGGTCAGCCACTTTAACTCAGAGTTATGGCCCTTGATTAGTTATGTAGTATGCATATAGAGTAAAAATCGTTACCGGAGTAGTTCTCTGCAACTACTGGCTGGAATTCAACGAAACTTTATGGGAATCATCAATACCAAGAGGAAATGCGCATATCGTCCACTTGTTCCGGTCAGACACTTTAACTCAGAGTTATGGCCTTGATTAGTTATGCAGTATGCATATAGAGTAAAAATCGTTTCTGCGCTACTTCTCTGCAACTACTGGCTGGAATTCAACGAAACTTTATGGGAACTTTCAATACCAAGAGGAGATGGGCATATTGTCCGCTTGTTCGGGTCAGACACTTTAACTCAGAGTTATGGCCTTGATTAGTTATGCAATATGCATATGGAGTAAAAAGCGTTTCCGGAGTAATTCTCTGCAACTACTGGCTGGAATTCAACGAAACTTTATGGGAATCATCAATATCAAGAGGAGATGCTCATATCGTCGGCTTGTTTCAGTCAGAACCTTCAATACCAAGAGGAGATGCGCATATCGTCGGCTTGTTCCGGTCAGACACTTTAACTCAGAGTTATGGCCCTTGATTAGTTATGCAGTACCCATATAGAAAAATATTTGTTTCCTCGCTACTTCTCTGCTACTACTGGCTGGAATTCAATGAAACTTTATGGGATACTAAGAGGAGATGTGCATATAGTCGCCTTGTTTCAGTCAGATACTTATAACTTAGATTTATGGCCCTTGATTAGTTATGTAGTATGCATACATCTCATTGGCATTTCCAGATTTTACTTTTTAACACAAAGTTATTGCTCTGTTATTGCCCTGAATATTTATCAAGTTCAAAGAATATTACTGTTTATGCCATAATTAATATATAAATAAAGCCTTATGTCTTCAGTTGTTGTGTTAATAATAACCAGTACTCGGCGGGGGATATAAATTCAACGAATTTGCTTGTTTTAAGTAATGACGTTGTGTTCAAGAGAAAATAATGTAGTCTATGACATTTTGTACGAAGTGAAAAATTTAGCTAAAAGCATCACTGCATAAACAAAACAAGTGTTGCATAATTTCAATTTTATGTTTAATGTCGATTACTAAAGCAAGTAAAAACAAGATTTTTTTTTTATAGAAAATCTTCATACATTTTTTTTAATACAAACTTAAGCTGTAACAAGCAATATCACATTTATAATTCAGCTAATTAGCATATTTTATGCTGCCTCTAATCTTAGCAAAAGGTTCTGCTTATAATACTGCCCTTGGGCATTTGAAAGGACATTTATGTATCATTGTATTCCATTATATATCTCACTATTAATTTTTACAGATCCACAGATGGGTCAGGTACAAGAAGCTGTCTCTGATATGACCTTAGATTCCAAAGTAAGTAACTATTGTGTACTAAATTCATTAAAGCATACACCACTTGCCCCTCACAACTGTTTGTTCGAATCCTACCAGGATTCTTTCATGTGAGGAAGCTACCCAGCTAGCTTATGGAAAGTAAGTGGTTCTACTCAGGTCCCAGTTTGTGCCAGAAATAACGCATGGAGGAGCACCTGAGGTCTTCCTACCCCAATAAAGCTGGTTAGTCTCTGTATGACATGTATTTTGTTTGTTTAATGTGAAAACCAATAAAAAAAATTCATACAGTGAATCAAGCAGATTAACCTTTACCACATGATACATCTTTAAATAAATGGACTTAACCATCTTTCGGTCTAGACAAAACCATCCATTGTTTATAGGGAACATTTGAAAATACGCAAGTATATACTAACTGAAATGCAGACAGTGTAAACCATGATTTTGGCCTGCACTGGTTGCATGAGTAGAATCTGTTGCTGACAGTAGGCTAAGAATTAAAGCTGCATGCCTCAAGATGAGCAAAAATATTTCAAGGAATCAAATTTGAGAAAAATGTACTAAGATATAAAAGAAGGTAAAAAAGACTCGAGTAATAATTTACATGTTACCTGCAATTAATGACTGATTTTGTATTATTTATCATCATATCTCTACTGTATGGAATTAAGCATAGATCTGGAGGCATGCTGTTTTCAAATCAGATTACTTCTTGCCTAGACTACTGAGTTATTCCCCTTGATGAACTTAAATAAATTCCTTATAAATTCCTTATGGATGTTTTGCATGCAAGTCTTATCTCTTCAACTTCAGGAGGTTTTCACAATAATATGAAACTGGATACATGTCTGTCATGTCATGATTTATAAGGTTTTGTTAGATCACTTTTTCTACCATCAATGTTTAATGAATTATTCCCCTTCATGAAATTTCCAGCGTGGAGTTTGCTTTTATTTTCAAGCACTGAAAATAGTTTAGTGCATTGCTTTTGAAAAATAAACTTTTTTTTAAAATTCTAAAGTTCTATCTTACTTTGCTAATGAAGGTTTTCAGCATTAGTTTGTATGAAGCATTAACACTAGATAAAAATTTTAATCCACTAGGGGAGAGCATCTGATTGGTAAACCAGAGGTTCACTTGTTTAATCTTCATGAGCATGGCAATTTCTCTGTGACAGTTGATCTTAGTGACATTCACTGATTCAGAAATCATTTAGCATTAATAAGTAGTCAGTCACATGCAGAGATGTCAGTAATTATCAGTAAGTTACTCAGGAAAGCTGGTTAGATGAACCATCTGCAATGTAACGATCAAAAACCAAACAAACAAACTATATTTGATCTTGCAGGATAAGACATCTTCTGCAGATGGAGGTGCGTCAACAACTAAAGATGATGATGACGACGACGATGATGACGACGGTGAAGCTATGGATATGGAGGCATTTGAAGAAAGTGGAATGCTAGAAGAAAATGACACAGTAAGTTTTCTACTAAGTAGTGACATGAGAATTGTAGTTTTGTAGGATTGAAAGAAAGTTCAGAAGAAGTATTTCAAATAATTTTGAAACTGGCATTGTACAAGTTATAAATATGACTTAATGCCAGAAAGCATTGGAGAGTTTGATATACACTAGATGAAAGTTATAACTGCTCTGATTACAGGTTTTTGAATGTCTTATTTTACGAGTTGATTTACTTATCAAAGTTTTCACACTGTAATTTCATTAGCTTGCAAAACTATTCAAGCGGACAACAGATTTTGCAAAGTTCATATTCAATTATTATAGGGCATACAAATTGGAATACAATTTAGAATTTTATCTTGCATGTAAAATTCAGAGATAATAAGATTTGATAAGTATATTTTGGGAACATTGCTGGTTCTTCTCAGGTGCCTGTTTATGTCTGAAATAATACAGGGCAGGGGAAGCGCATCTGAGGTCTTCTTCCACCGGTACAGTTGGAAAAAAATTGCCATATGCTGTGTTGGTGACGTAAAACCCAACAACAAATGAAAGAGTTTTTTGTCAGATTATACACTCTTTTTTATTATTCCAGTTCTTTCCAGTTAATGCTTGGCTTAGACTTAAAGGTATTATATGTCAGACTTACTAAATGTTAAGATGATTTATGAAAGTTGTGCCTTTATTTTACTAAACAAAGGAGTACTTTGACATACTCAAGAAGAAGTAGTGTTATGTCAGGACTCAAATTTTGTATGTGGACAAGTCAATAATTGAGCAGTTAAAATACTTAAGATAATTTGGCATTTGTTTTCTTGCCTATATTTCAGGCCACTTTAGTTGTAAAGACTAATGTAGAGCGGCAGATATCAGAATCTGAGAGTGGTGTGTTGCAGACTCGAACCTATGATCTCAACATAACTTATGATAAATATTATCAAACACCAAGGCTATGGTTGTACGGGTATGATGAGGTAAGGGCAGATAATTCACTAGGTACATATTGTTTAGTAGTTAGTTTAGTTATTGTCATACAAAATAATTTGGTTTATACAGAATTTATTTTAGATTGATTGTGTAGGAAGCTATAAGCTTATAGACACACTTTCGAATTCGTTCCTGGAACCAACCAGTACTGAGCAATGAGTGTAAAGTTTCTTGATCAAGGAAACAAGGACTTGCCCTTGACGGGCTTTGAACCCATGCGGCTAGAGTTAGCGATCATTTGATTGCTAGTCCGACAAGTAAGCCACTCAGCCATAATTTTCAAAATACTGGCAGAGAAATAAAAAATACAAGAAAATGGAAATCAAATACATTTACTTGTAAATCAAAAGGTTAATGTAAAATAGCAATCGAAACATATTTCATGTATACTATATCTTAAATAAAAGCAAAAATATGGTTGATAAGGTGAATGTGAACTATTTAAGATGTTGTACAAAAATTTGCTTCACAAGTTATTATAATAGAAGGTTTTTTGTTATATGTTAGCTCAGCCAAAAAATATCTGTCAGTTTTAAATTACTTAGAGTCTTTCTAGGCTAGAGGTTAAAGTCACTTAAGTCAGGCACTTTCCCTGTAAGGTTTAATATTCCTCCAGGGACAGAGATGTGGGCAAGCTATCCATTGAGCCATTGAAAGATTGTCGTTTCTACCATTGTGTTCTTTCATGCCAGAAATAATTAAGAATTTTCATAATCAATTACATGTGTGGTACAAATTTATGATAATTTTTTAGCTCGACTTTTCTATGAAAAGGGGAGCTATCCTACTCGCCCCGGCGTCGGCGTCGGCGTTGGCGTCACACCTTGGTTAAGTTTTTCGTACCACCCCACTTTATTTCAGAAGTATTACAAGTATGGCTTTGAAACTTACCATACTTGTTCACCATCATAACCTCCATCTACAGACAAGAGTACATAACTCTGTCAAGGTTTTTGACAGAATTATGGCCCTTTTTTGACTTAGAAAGTGTATTGAGCTTGGTTAAGTTTTTTGTACCACCTCACTTTATTTCAAAACCATTGGAGGTATTGCTTTGAAACTGACCATACTTGTTTACCATCACGACCTTCATCAACAGACAAGAGGACATAACTCTGTCAAGGTTTTTGACAGAATTATGCCCTTTTTGACTTAGAAAATACATTGAATATGGGTAAAATCCACTTATTGCCTTAACCCTTTGAGATATTGCTTTGAAACTTTTAATGCTATTTCACATCATTACCCCATCTGTACGCAAGAGAAGGTAACTCTGTCAAGGATTTGTTTTAAAAATTAAGGCCTTTTATCGACTTAGAATTAAATTTATTTAAGGCTCAACTCAGTTTTTTTTTCTTTCTTACCAGCCCTCTTTTGACTTAAACATTTCAAACTTTGCTGCAGTGTTCAAGGGTATCACACAATTCAGTAAAATAATTCTTCACTAAATATCTTAATGCTCATGGCCATTGTTCACTTTAAAAATACAGAGATTCTTGTATTGCCTTTTACTGCAAAAACTTTTTTTATTGGCAAGCAATAAAAAAGTCGAGCGCGCTGTCTTACGGACAGCTCTTGTTTATTTTCCATGTAAGAATCGGACTCCTCTGACAGTAGAGCAGATGTATGAAGATTTCAGTCAAGACCATGCTAAGAAAACAGTAACCATGGAAGCCCATCCACATCTACCGGGACCACCAATGGCTTCTGTACATCCCTGCAGGTAAGAAATAAGTTTTGAGTCTGTGTTTGGCAATGGCAATTGACTGATACCATATGTTTTCCTTTTAAATTCTAATCTTTCAGTTTTAAGTAACTTAAACCCTTGTTTCATGTCAACAGTGATACATTTATATGTAATTGAATATCAGTCATTGATATCAATTTTACACACAAGTGAAAAGCAAATGTGGAAAAAGGAAAAAAGAATACAGATGTTTGGGCCATAAGTGAACTATGAAATATATAAAGATAAGATAACATGAACTGCTCATAATTATTTGCTCTATAAACTGTCGCTATGATATTTTTAGACATGCAGATGTGATGAAGAAGATAATAGAAATGGTGGCCGAGGGAGGTGGTGATCTAGGTGTTCATATGTATCCTTTATAAATACGTGGTAATCTTAAACATGATTATTTTTGAAATAAGAGAATTCTTGTTACTTGCCAGCATAGGTAAGCAGGAAGAGAATAAGTATAATACTTTGGATTTGTTATTTGGAGTCTGTGATAGGTTGCTTGTCTGTAATTATGATTCATGTTTTCATGTCCCTTCTTTTGTTTGCTAGAAACTAAAAGTGTATTAACCCAAAATAGTGTCAATAACAAAAATTCACATTAAGCTATTTTTGCAATTATTAATTTTTTTATTTATTTTTTTTTGTGAGAAAAAAAATTCAAAGAGGTGAACCAGAACTTAGAAAGATGAAAAAAATTATTGTGGTACATGTAATTATGACTAATTCCATTTAATTTCCATCCTGATGTGACTGAAGAAATCAGCAATTATACAGGGAAAATGAGTTAGAAATGGGAAGAATAGAATTTAGAAAAAAAAATTTGTTCAGCAACTACAAAACTTCAGTGGTTCTTACCGAATGTTTATTTGTGCCTGAAATAATAAAGAGAGGATGAAGGATCTTCTTCAATCAGTAAATCCTAAAAATTATTATTCAAGTAAATAGTATTTGTGTTTCTTGAAATCTAATGCGAAACATGTACCTTGTGTGCCGGTTTACATAAAAGAAAAGCAATAAACACATAGTTTTATTAATTTAGTGCCTTTAGGTATTTTAAAGAAAATGCAATTTGTCATTTTGTGTACATGGGGAGAGATGGTGTAGGGCAGGAGAGTATAAGTGATGTGACCGAATGTTGTTTTATTTTTCTAACAAAATTAACATCAACACATTATATCCTTAACTGTTTATTCAGGTATTTAATGATATTCTTGAAGTTCGTTCAAGCTGTAATTCCGACCATAGAATACGACTACACACGCCATTTTAACTTGTGATGCACCTTAACTACCACGCAATATATACTTATACTTGTTCATATAATATTATCTCTGATGTTTTTATGTAAACTGACAAAAATAAATCATCCTTCTTGAGATTTAGTTTCACTTTCTCCTCTTCGTTTTTAAACAGTGATGATTTACTTGTTTTCTGTCTCAAGAATCGGCTCCGGTATCTGGTATTCTTGAAAAATGGAGAAATTTTTTTTTAATGCAGTTGTGCTATTTTATATTAATATGTGAATTAATACTTTACTAATTTCAATCTAAGGAAATTATTTTACTATGTGCAAATCGTGTGAAAATGTATTCCAAAAAAAGGAAATCAACCTCCGAGATTTTATATTTCTTAGAAATATACATGAATGTATGTATGTAACAGTGTTATTAATGTTTGCAATAGCAGCTTTGATTTGGGGGGGGGGGGATGATGATGATGAATTTGATTAATCATTATTGCATTATTACTTCTCATGCTGAAAAAAAATATTGAAAGAAAAATAAATGTCTTTAGATTTTATTTGTGCTTACTGTTACTTGTGTGGAAAAGTACTCTAAATTGGATCAACCAGCAGTAGATTGCTTGTTATTGTTGTTATAAATGTGAAAAATGTACTGAGAAAATAATTTAACCCACCTAACATTTCAATGTGCTGTTTGCCATTTATATATAAACACAGGAAATAGTGACAGGATAAAAATAACACCATTATTTTATTTCTGCTTACTCAGTAACTCAAGTGGAAAAATACCAAACAAAGATTACTACAACTGAAATAAGGAAAAATACTGAACATAAATGGCAAGAACTTCAAGAACATTTCATTGTGTTATATGCTACTCAAGTTGGAAAATGTTGACACAAATTAACAATCACTAAAATGGATGGTGAAAATTTCTGTGATTAATAAATGTAGAAATTTCTTGGATCTTTTACGAAATTGTTGTCATGATTTAACAATTGAATGATTTTGTATTTTTTATCCATACCCTGCTGGGACTGAAAGTGTTTAGACTTTGCCACAAGTATAGAACCTTCACATCAGTGTAATCTGATCAGGCTCTATAATGTTGGTTGCCCACTTTTTGTATTTTGACACTGAAATCCCTTCAAGTTGGAATGGACTGTACCATATTCAAAACAGTTCAAATATATTACACAAATTCATCAGGTTATGGGTTAAATGCATTGGTACATGTATATGTTTTTTTTTTGAAAAATGGATAAACATAAGAAATAGTGTTGACATTTCAGTGAAATTGTTACTTTAATATAAATAATTAATTATATATGTATAGCTTTAATGGTAAGCACTGTTCTAAAGCATTTTAATTGTTGGTGAATTATTATATTTTATGTTGCACTTGGCCCATCATGTAATGCCAAGCTTTGATTAAAAGATATTTTCAGATTTTTCTTAGTTATTTTTTGAGGATTGGGGATAATCCCACATTGTAAATTTAAAGGATATTATAAAGCTTTCAGGATAAACAGACAATGAATCTTGATATCTTACATTATTATTTTACTTCAAATTGACCATCCAAAGGGAAAAATTTCATTTTTTATGTTTGGCCACTAAGAATATTACTTATTAAAAATAATATGTGTTAAAATTCTCACTGTTGGTGAAAGAGACATCAAAAATTAAGCTAAAAACTAGTGATGCAAGTAGGCAGTAGAAGTAATAGCTTACATTTAATAGTTTAATTTAAATAAACATCAATATTTTGATCTTCTCATTCACTAACAGTGAGGATTTGTACAATATATGGAGAGCTGTCGTATTCAATCTAGCATGCGGGCCAAGATTTTACTTTAAAGTTCTTATGTATAACATATTTTTAATTTAACTTATTTATTAATTTGTGGAATTTTAACTTCAGATCTCAATTATATGTTCTTTATCATTTCCCTACATCATATAAGACAAGGTTAATAACTCTAGCACATATACTTCCAGAATGATTTTCCCTTTAAAATTACAAATTTTCATAGATTTTTTCTTATCAACTTAGTTATATACCAGCATTTCTAACATGGAAATGTTGTCATCAGACCAACTGAAATATATGGTAATAAGTTCTGCCATGATCTTGTTAAAGATCCTGTAACAGATTTTTATGCTCCCCGAAAAAATTTCGGGGGAGCATATAGTCGCCGCCTTGTCCGTCCTTCCGTCCGTCCGTCCGTCTTTCCGTCCGTCCGTCCGTCCGTCCGTCCCCTTTTCTTGTCCGGGACATAACTTTGAAACAACAAGAGGTATCAACATGAAACTTTGTAGGTAGATAGATCTCATTGAGTAGGTGTGCAGTGCACAAGAACCGTAACTCTGCCTTGCCTAATTTTTGAATTATTCCCCTTTGTTTATTTTTACACTTTGAACTTTGTCCGGGACATAACTCTAAAAGTATAAGAGGTATCAACATGAAACTTTGTAGGTAGATAGATCTCATTGAGTAGGTGTGCAGTGCACAAGAACCGTAACTCTGCCTTGCCTAATTTTTGAATTATCCCCCTTTGTTTATTTTACACTTTGAACTTTGTCCGGGACATAACTCTAAAAGTATAAGAGGTATCAACATGAAACTTTGTAGGTAGATAGATCTCATTGAGTAGAAGTGCAGTGCACAAGAACCGTAACTCTGCCTTGCCTAATTTTTGAATTATCCCCCTTTGTTTATTTTACACTTTGAAATTTGTCCGGGACATAACTCTAAAAGTATAAGAGGTATCAACATGAAACTTTGTAGGTAGATAGATCTCATTGAGTAGAAGTGCAGTGCACAAGAACCGTAACTCTGCCTTGCCTAATTTTTGAATTATCCCCCTTTGTTTATTTTACACTTTGAACTTTGTCCGGGACATAACTCTAAAAGTATAAGAGGTATCAACATGAAACTTTGTAGGTAGATAGATCTCATTGAGTAGGTGTGCAGTGCACAAGAACCGTAACTCTGCCTTGCCTAATTTTTGAATTACCCCCCTTTGTTTATTTTACACTTTGAAATTTGTCCGGGACATAACTCTAAAAGTATAAGAGGTATCAACATGAAACTTTGTAGGTAGATAGTTCTCATTGAGTAGGTGTGCAGTGCACAAGAACCGTAACTCTGCCTTGTCTAATTTTTGAATTATCACCCTTTGTTTATTTTACACTTTGAACTTTGTCCGGGACATAACTCTAAAAGTATAAGAGGTATCAACATGAAACTTTGTAGGTAGATAGATCTCATTGAGTAGGTGTGCAGTGAACAAGAACCTTAACTCTGCCTTGCCTAATTTTTGAATTATCCCCCTTTGTTTATTTTTACACTTTGAACTTTGTCTGGGACATATTTCTTAATGTATAAGAGATATCAACATGAAACTTTGTAGGTAGATAGATCTCATTGAGTAAGTTTGCAGTGCACAAGAACTGTAACACTGTCTTGCCTACTTTTGTAGTTATTGCCCTTTGTTCATTTTGACACTTTGAACTTTGTGTGGGGACATTACTCTAAAATTATAAGAGATATCAACATGAAACTTTGTAGATAGATAGGTCTCATTGGGTGGAAGTGCAGTGCTTAAGAATCATTACTCTGCCTTGCCTTATTTTGAAGTAATTGCCCTTTGTTTATTTTTACTTTTTGACTTTTGTCCTGGACATTACTTTAAAACTATTAGAGATATCAACATGAAACTTTGTAGGTAGCTAGATATAATTGGATAGAACTGCAACGCTTCAAGAACCTAAACAAAGCCTGGTCTAATTTTGGAGTTATTGCCCTTTGTTCATTTTTTTTATACTTTCCTGTGTCCAGAACCTTCTCGGGGAGCATCACCCGGTTCAACCGGTTCTTGTTTTCATGGTTTTATTTCATAAACATGATGCTCAAATTAAGATTTGTCAATATTGTAAGTTCCAATAAACATTATTTATAAAAATATTGCGGAATTTAACATTTCATGTAAATAAAGGGAGGTAATTAGAAATTTATTTTCTTTAAATTCTAAGTCAAATTTTACAATAAGAAATGAATGCATATAATTTATTGATTAAATATGATGTGCACAAATATTTGCAGTACACATTTTACATATTCTTTGATGTTTCAAAATTGTTTTATTTGCATAATTTTATACATACATGTATATAATTTTTTGCAAGTGTGGTATACACACACTAACAGTATCAATCACAAAACATACAGGATCTTTAAAACACCAGAAAAGGTTGAATCAATCCAAAGAAAAAATAATCAGTGAGCAGGAACCTTGTATTTAAATGCCATAAAAGTTTTCCTGACCACTATGACAGTCTAGAAGAGTTTATAATCATACAATGTACATGGTTCGCATGGATTAAACACTTTTATCAGTGAAGAAAGTCAGCTCAAGGGACTGCTGTTCTAATACCTTTAGGAATAACAAGCAGTATTCATCAGAGTTGTGGCACAATATGACCAGCAAATTGTTTTAAATAATCGAACAAAAGTTTATCAACATTGTATTCAGTGCCAGGGACATTAGGATGCTTTTCCAGTTAATAACAACATCTACAGATGTTTAAAAAAAAATCATCAACTAATTGATAAAAAATGAAATCCTATCGTGACCTAATGACTGACTTGCATTTAAGATTTTTTCCTTTCCTTGTGATGTATCTCAGGTGAGTCATCCAGGGTCGTCATGACCCTCTTGTTTTAAGGTGCAGACTTCATTCAGGTAGCAGTGGAACAATCTTGCCATTGAGAAAATTGGTGAATGGTCACTGAATTAATTCAAAATTAGAAATGGAGAGTAATTTTATTTATCTAGCGATTTAAAGTATCACCTTATGTTAAATAAGTTAATTATTATTAAAAATATTATTTTCTCAGTACGGTAATGGTACGGCTTTCCAGATAATTTTCACGGGTGGGAATTACGAAGAACACCGTTTAACATGGTTGACAAGTTGACACAAATCTTTTTGCTGTAAGATATGTAAATACAGGCTGAATTCAAGATGCAAATGTGATTTACGTGTAAGTTTCCAAGTTTTCCTTGATGCAAATTAGCTTTATCATCAGAAAACCGTAAATTACGCAAGGTGACCGGCTGAAACAGGAAGTGTTAAAACTTGACAAAAACAAAACTAGAGCCTAGACTTTTCATATACCTACTAGGATCTAATTTATCATTATTCTTCTGTATAAAAACATGTAATAAATATTATAATATAGACAAACAATGCTAATGTCCTTTAGAGTATTAAATCACGTATTCTACCACCAGGTACTAGCAGCCACTGCAGCAATCCATTCTTCAGTAGTAGACCTACTCATATAGGTATTGACTCATAAATTTTAGTGTAAATTCAAGCAACCCATTATGCATTGATTCACTGAGGATAAAATAAAAAAAACCAGTCTTGTTCACAGTCTACAGTGAAGTGATTATAGTTATAGTCCACTTTTAAATACAGGTCCAATATTGTTAATTAAATTAAACTATACTTAAGGGGTGTTCTTGGTTAAGGTTGTTGACTTCAAACCACTTGCCCATCACCGCCGTGGGTTCGAATCCAGACAGTGACTTTGGATTCTTTATGTGAGGAAGCCATCTAGCTAGCTTATGGAACGTCGGTGGTTCTACTCAGGGGCCGTATGTGCCTGAAATAATGCACGGTAGGGCACCTGAGGTCTTCCTCCACCAGTAAAGCTGGAACTTCGCCATATTGCCTATACTGTGGCTGTTTGACGTAAAACCAAAACAAACAAACAAAATTCAACTAATGATGTAACCGAAAATATCTGGGAATCAAATATCTAACATTCATATGACAATTTTTTGTTCATTAATGCCTCAGTTATATTGATCTTTGGTCTGTAAAAGGTACTAAGCTCACTATAAATTTGGTCAAATTGACAAATGAGAAATTGAGACTGGCTTATGAAAACTTTATTGGTTAATATCAATATTTAAAGATAGTTACATTTTTGTAATTCTTTAGCAATTTGCTCAGTTAAATACAGGTACCGTACAGAAGGCAAGGCAAACTTTCTGCATTAAATTTAAAAACTGTTTAAGACAAATGACTGCCAACACAATCATAATTTGTACTCCTAAGAAGGGGCTGCTGAAAACTCAAACAATAGCATTAAGGATGTGACATATTCATTGAACGTTCTTTTTAGTGTTATTGATCCTAGAAATCAAATATGCCCGAAGCTTTTCACAAACATCATAGCTCTTTGGTATTTCACGTTTGCTAATAATTCAGTATTTAATGTGTGATTTAAAATTTGCTTTCTTTGCATTTCTCAGGATGGTAATTATGGAGATTGAGGTTCAGAAATGTGGGGTGAAATTTGATCCGCCAGCGATAATGATTGTATACAGTGACAATGGATCTAAGAAACACAGACAAAGGACGATGCCATTAAGAGATTTCACAAAAGATTCAAACACTGAGAAGGCGACTGATGATTTAATTGCCCATCCGCGTCATGGGAAATATGTAACTAAAATTCCAAAAGTTCAGTTGATGAGACTTATTACAATAATAAGGGACAAATTGAATGGTATGTCACTTGAGGCCAGTCTAGCAAGAAATGATGCCTTGGATAAAATAGATCCGGAAGAAAACTTGAACACAGTGGATGAGGAGACTTTAAAACGGAAAAAAGCTGCTATGGAGCGAACTTTTGAGAAACATCAGGTGAAACCAAATGATCCAAACTTCAAATACGATGTTGACGTAGAGTTTGACGAGCAAGATGTGATAGAGTCTGGATGGGATTCTGGAGAGGATGGATCTGATTTAGAGTTTTAACGTGGATCTGTTTTAAGAAGTGGATAAAAAGTGACGTTGGTGATGTTACTAAGTAACAGTTACTCTGATAGCGTGTATACCACAGAAAAATTGTAAACAAAAAGCAAAACAAAAAGCTTTTTAGGGAAAGGAATTAAATAACAGGAAACATAGCCAAAGTTAAGAATTATTTAGAATAAAAAAATTGGCTTTATCTATGTAAAAACAAAGATCACATTTTACTTTAAAAGTTTTTTATACTGATATTTTTCTCAATATTTAAAAGTCTGATCAATATACAATTTTTTTATAAAGCAGACTTCAGAATATCATTTGTTTCATAGGGGCTAAGAGCCCACTTAACTCAATGCTATGTATTATTAGATTATCATAACAGTTATAGAAAGCTTAACATTAACATCTTTAACATTCAGTTACAAAGCTTCTATTCTGTAACATTTATGACTAGTTTTGCTCAGACTGGCTTTGCTTTAAACAAATTTCATTTTCAAATTGCTACAGTGACCAAATACTTTATAAATTAAATACAGATGCTGTACTTTCAAGGGACTCCATTGAGGTCCTTCGACTTAAAGTGACTGGAAATAATTTTTCAAGATTAATGTTCCATTTGATGTAATTTTAGACCAATAACTTGCATAGAATAATTATTCAAATTGTGAAAAATGACCAAAAAATGATAAGCATTGCAGTGCTTTGCATTCAAAATGTGCTTAAAATAGCACAAAAATGTGATTTTCAATTTATTTATGAGCATATGACTTAATTTTATTTTGGATATTTTCTGTTTTAAGTGCCCCAGCTGATCTTTATAAGATTTTTTTTATCATATGTTTATAGTCTTTAGACCTCAGTGGAGTTCCTTAAATTGCAAAAGTCTTTTAAACCTACAGAAGCCTTTCCCTTTTCTGTTCTTGTCTTTATTTTCTTTACTTAAAAAGGATTTATTTTCAAGTCTGTTGTTTGATTCTGGTTTGAAGTTTAGGTTTTTTTGGTTTTCTATTACTTTGGCGACAATGTGGCTAAAACTGCTTTGTTTTGAAGTGAAGATTGAATTTTTTATAATTAAAGTATTTTTGTGATTTTTTTTGTCAGGGTAAGTTAAAATCCAATTTCTTCCAGATGTTGAAATTGTCTTGTCAAAATTTAATGTCCTGTTTTCAAAGTTTGTTGAGTTGTGTCAAATGTTAAGAAGATTCAAACGGAAGTGTTATTCATCCAGAAAAAAATACAGAAAATATTAACAAGAAACACAGTTTTGTGCAATTTTAATAGTTAACACTGTTACAACCATGGCAATTGCAAATAAAACACTGGATTTAAATGTTTGAAGTAGATGATCAATTACATTCTTTAAAGGCCCATTATGCCTATAGAAATGCTATCATTTTTATTTCACAAAAAACTTTAAATTTTTGGTATCTTGTTACAGATTCTAAAAAAGTACTCATCTAAATGAACTATCTTTGCTTCTTTTGCTTTATTGGCAATTGGTATAATTATAGTGAATTTGTATGGAAGTCAAAATAAAACTTTTTTTACATTTTGCTACCTTACGACACATTACTGCACATTCAGTGCTACTTTCTTAAGCTTTTGAACAACTAAATCCATTAGTAAAACATTATTAAACACATGTTTGACATTTCTAAACTTTAGTAAAGAATTGAATAAATATAGATTTATAAGGCTTAATGTGTCTTTAAGTAATACCTATATAGGGTAAACATTATTGTAAAGAACATAAAACATGAGCTTTGTTTTCTTTTATAAGCTGTAACTTATAAAGTAATCTACAACAATATTTCTATACACAGACATTGTCAGTCAATTTTGTTGAAGGAAAATTTCCCTTTTAACCATACTTAAATATTTACTTTAAGTTATATTTGGAAAAAAAAGATGTCAATTTTTAAAAGATATAATAAACTGTAGGCTATATAATCTATCGGGCCGAGCTTGACATGGTGGTATTGTTGAGAAAAGCTTTTACAGGAGATGTGTATTTTAGTTGACCAGTCAAATAAAAGAGATGCCAATTGAATACATATCCTAGAGTGTATTTCAACTTTGATATTGTCTATAGTTAGTTTTGAGTTAAGAAATTTTAGAATATATAACTAAGGATAAGAGGCAGGCTTATCTAGCTAGTTGGAGCTACTATATTGAGGATTGACTGCAAAACTGTAGTAACTTATATAAAATAAAGGACTTACAGCATTTTTGCGATCAAACCTCAATATATACATTGCATAATAATTTATTTACATAGCCTGTGTACACATGGGCAATGACTGTGACCTATTTTCAGAAATTTAGAAATGTCACGTTTTTACAGGAAGTAGTCTAGAATTAGACTGTTTTAAAACTGGAGGTAGATATGTATACCCAAATAGAGAATAGAATTTTTTAACAGATTTTTTAAGAACTACATGTTGATATATATATTCATACAGGTCTTTTAATCATTAGTAGATAATGATTTTTATCATCCAGAGAAAATGTTTTAGAATTAGACTGTAGAGAAAAAGGAAGTAGATCTATGCAAATTTATGAAGGATTGATGTTAGGAAACAGAATTTCAGAATAGTAAATGCAGCAAATTATTAATCAGGGATTATTATGAACACTTTTTGTTCCTATTGTTGTAATGTTCATGTCTGTGATTGTGTTTTTCGTCTTTATTGCTTTATGTGTAGAATTTGTAATGTTCCTTATATTGGTGCACATAGCTAGGATTATTCTTAATTAATTAAGTTAGATTATCCAGAGGGGTTTGACTCTTTTTCTCTCTTTTTTTAAAGATGAATTGGAAAAAAAAACAGACCACATTTTAGTGCCTTGTTTGTCAGGATTAAAAATAAAAGAAATAAGAACTTTTTTTAATAGGATATTTAAAATATTTCTGGATTTTGGATGAGGAAAAAAAACAAATTTAATTTTCTCTTATTTTCTCAGTACATATTTACCTGTATTTTAAATACTGATGAAATATAAGTAGATATTTATTACTTCAGTACTAGGAATAACAGTTATCATAGATACGCAAATTTTAAAACAAGGTTTTAAAATGCATAATTTTTCTATTTTAACAGCATTAAAATTTATGGATTTGGCCCGTTATCACCTTTGGCCAATGTTGCACATTAACTTCCCGTATGTTTTGCACGCATTTATTATTTCAGATCTAATATTAATTTTATAATGAAAATAATGTAAAGGACTAAATCTAATGGTATATAAAGATTTAGTATTTTTATTGTTTACATTAAATTGTGGGATATTGTTTCAGATATACCTAAATTTTATTCATCTTCATAGGATCACATTTTTACTGACGCTCCATTATGTTTCGCTTAGTACTGCATAGAGCAACGGAGCGAAAATGATGATCTGATTTTAATGAGATTGAAATACGCCAATCCAATGTAAGAAAATTTAATAATATTTATTAATATTCCTCTTATATTGATATGTTTATGTCAAAAATCTTATATTGATAATGTTTATATCAAAACTCTTATATTGATATATTTGTTATAAAGTTTAACTTTATAACAAATATATCAATATAAGAGTTTTGTTAATAACATGTTTAAGAAATTTCACTAAATTTTTTAAGATTCAGCTTTATGGTAATATTTTTGATATTTTTAACACACCCCTCTGTAGGATATTAGATTTACACTGCTGTAAGTAGATCAACAGATGTAGATTTCACAATGTGTTCACTGTAATAATCCGTCCCAACAATTCAGAATGTAACATGCTTTAGTTAACTTGTTTACACGTTATCTTGTCTGTGACATGTTTCATGTATATTTTGCAAGTGACTATATTATTGAATAAATTTTTTTTTTCTAAGAATGGATTAAGTTGTTTTATTATGAATCTCCCAACTAAAGATTAATTATACCCACTTCTGTCAGAACTTTTCTTAAAAGAAAAAGAAAATGGTAAAATTTAATACTTACACGGATGAAGAAAGTTTTAAATATCTGCATGGCACTGTCCGGTATGTCAATTTTATTAAAGTGTCTTTTTTGTTAGACATTTTCCTGTTGACAATGTATGTGACGAGCCTATACAAAATAATCCTCCTCTTGTGTAGCAATGATTATGACCTTCATAGTGATATGGAGCAAGGGACGCAATGTCCATCTGCATTCTCTCGGAACATTGTGGTGCCATCAGACAGAGATCTTATGAAAGGTTGTACATGGTTTTATAGATGCAAGCAGAATTCCATACCCAAGAAGGATGATACATATACGTTAAGTTTCTTAATCCACGTTCTAACAAAAATCTTTATTAAATCTAAGGGCGTTTTTAAGAACCTACGGTAACAAAAAAAAAGTAAAATATGTCAAAAACAGACATCATAAAATATAATGTCACTGTGTTCTGTTATTTATTCGTACTTACTGTCTAATACCTGATTAGTGGTGATTAGTGATTTGTTTACATTTACAAGAGCAGTAAATGTGACATTAACTATATTACTGTTGCTAGACTAATAATGAATCAGACAGTGTTTGTTCTGTCCTATTATAACACAAGTAAGCACTTAGACTTCTCAAGCCCATAGGATAAGATGACTTTTAGACCCCCATTTATCATTATTTTAACAAATGGTTTAGACTTGCAAAAAAAAATCGTCATGATTTGTATAATTTAATGTAAGGTCCCAAACAGAGAAATTAAGGACTTTCTATGGCCAAAATTAATGAAGGATGAATTTTTAAGGCTGTATGAACCTTTTTTTAGCTCACCTGTCACTTTGTGACAGATCGCTTTTCGTCCGGCGTCCGTAAACTTTTACTTTAAATGACATCTCCTCATAAACCACTAAGCCAATTTCATCCAAACTTCACACGAATGTTCCTTTGGTGGTCACCTTTGAAAATTGTTCAAAGAATTTAATTCCATGCAGAACTCTGGTTGCCATGGCAACCAAAAGAAAAAACTTTAAATATCTTCTTCTAAGAAACCCAAAGAGCTAGAGCTTGGATATTTGGCATGAAACATCTTCTAGTGGGTGTCTACCAAGTTTTTTCAAATAAAAGCCCTGGGGTCAAAATTGGCCCCGCCCCAGGGAGTCATTGATTTTCCCTATATGTATATAGTAAAAACTTAAAAAATCTTCTTTTAAAGAACCCAAAGAGCTAGAGCTAAGATATTTAGCATGAAACATGTTCTAATGGATGTCTACCAAGTTTGTTCAAATAAGAGCCCTAGGGTCAAAATTGGCCCCACCCCAGGGGGTCATTGATTTTCCCTATATGAATATAGTAAAAACTTAAAAATCTTCTTTTAAAGAACCCAAAGAGCTAGAGATAAGATATTTCGCATGAAACATGTTCTAATAGATGTCTACCAAGTTTGTTCAAATAAGAGCCCTGGGGTCAAAATTGGCCCAGTCCCAGGGGACAATGATTTTCCTTAAATGTGTATAGCAAAAACTTAAAAATCTGCTTCGAAAAAAAACCGAATAGCTAGAGTTTAGATATTAAGCATGAAACATCTTCTAGTAAGTGTCTACAAAGATTTATTATTATTAATCGCAAGCTAATAGAGTGCTATATGCGCTCCATATATAATAGAGATTAGGATAATTAAAATAGATCTTATATAATCAGTATAATTATGTCAAAGAAATCTAGACTACGTATATTAAAAAAAATTAATTTCAAATAAAATGATTTGGATATCGTCCAATACAGAACCAATCAGACCATTATTGTGTAGAGTATTAAAACATTATAATGTTTCTTAAAAATATGTTCATGCTAGAATGCAATTCGCGTTTTGGAAAATATTTGGTGAGGGAGCGATTAGAAAGGATGTAAGGCTGAAATAATTTTTAATGAAAAACTAACTGTTTATTAATATTTAAAATACAAGAGGGACATAATACAAAACGTATGGGTTGTGATGCTTAACATTTCAGTATTGGAAAACTCCTATGCTATATATATAATGGTTGTTTGGTCAATGATTTTATTGTATACAGTCTGCAATATGCATACGCCTCTTCTTAAAACATGACTTGATGTTGAAGAAATTTGTACACAAGTGTTACATTTTAGTAAAATAACATGTTAATAGCAGGACAAAAACATTTGTTTATACATGCTGTAATCTC